AAAAAAAAAAAAAAAAAAAAAAAAACAAGAAAAAAAATTTTCCTTGTTTGCGACTTAGACTCGCACACAATCAAAAGATCTTTGATTTGACTAACCATTACACATTAAATCATACATCACTTGTTTTTTTACCTGTTTTTCAAGATCCACAAATGCGTTTTTGTCGGAAACGCACGAGAAAGAGGGAACGAAGGCTGTTAAACCACCGCCTATTCCAAGAAAGACGAGAGTGAAGGATCGCTTATAAAACTAATCGACACAACAAACGTCCCGTCATTGACACGAACGGACCCGTCGAATGAAGTTTGATGCAAGTTTCAGCTCTGCATCTCTGTAACTGATACATTACGTACATGGGATGACGACTTGTTAACATATAAAAATTAACAAACTGAAAAATATACGAGACTGCAAACAGTGTGGTTGCATAAAGACAATAAATATTGTCAATATTTCAGATATCAGACTCCGTTCTGTCTTTGCTGTCGGTGCTCTCCGATCTTCCTTTTTCCTCCGACTGTTTGGACTCCGATTTGTCGCTAGACCGTTTCTCTTTGCTGGACTTCTTCTCGCTCTTGCTCTCCCTCTCGCTTTTGCCGTCCTTCTCGCTCTTTCTCTCCTTGCTCTTCTCGCGATCGCTGTCGCTCTTCTTGCCGTTGTCCGACTTGTCCTTGCTACGTCTCTCTCGATCTTTGTCCTTGGACTTCTCCGAGTACTTAGATTTGGAGGATCTCGACTTGGACTTGGAACGCGATCGTCTGGATCTAGATTTCGAACGCTTGCTGCGCGAACGTGAGCGACTACGACGTCGCGGCGATCTCTTTTTGCGCTCTTTTGACCTAGATGGCGATCGTCGCGATCTTCAGCAAGATAAAAGATCAGTTAGAATTGTTTTGTGTTGCACAAAGTTTTGAATACATACAGAAATTTACTCCTACTGCATTTTATAACATTAACACTGCATCATGTAATATTAAATACTTATTTTTATGTAATAGATGTTTCAAAGAAAAGTTGAAAAAAAAACAAAAAAAAAAACTGTTCAATCGTACCTCGATCGTCGTGATCTGCTACGTGAACGATGACGACTACGAGAACTGCTGCGGCGTCGTGATGGCGAGCTGCGCCGACGATCCTTCGATCGTGATCTCTTGGAGCGTGAGCGTGATCGACGTCGATGTCGCGAACGCGAGCGTCGGTGGCGTGAACGCGACCGTTTGCGCGATCTTGAGCGTCGACTGCGACCGCGGCTGCGCGAACGAGATTTGCGACCGCGGGATCCACTTCTGCTCCGCTTATCCTTGGACAGCATACCGATCATCGGATCAATCGCAGCAGAAATGAGATTGTGCGCTTCTTTCACCCGCGACATCGCTTCCTCAATTTCCTTTTGAGCGGCCTCGTTGCTCTTTGCTTCCGGTTTAGCAATCGCCTGTGTCGAGTGATAAATCTTGATCGGACGATCAGCTAGTTGTTTGCCGTTCAAAAGCAACGCCGAAACCACAGCTCCTTGCTCCGACAGTTCCACCAGCGCGTAGTGCTCGGTATCCGAGTCTCTGCTACACATACGCAGATACTTGATCTCCACGTTGTTGTTGCCAAAGAAGTCCAACAGTTGTTCGGGGCTCACCGATGCGTCTAGGTTCGCTATCACGAGCGTCCGTCGGATTTCCTCGATGCGTCTGCTATCCAGATGACCCGGCAGATGTGGATAAGGCGGTAGACCATTCGCCTCCAGCTTAGGATCCATCGTAGTGATCACGTGATTTGGCGGGATACCCTCGATAGCATTCACAACATTTGGCGGTAGTTTTGGTTCTGACGGATATAGACCTGAAAGAAAGAATTGCCAAATTATTCTATGCTGTAAACATAAAAAAAAGAAAGAACATTTGCCTTATAATAATTATTATATAGTTCAAGTAACATCAGAAATATTGTTACAACATAGTACAATTAAAAACAGATAAATTAACAACCTGTGTGCAATCCTTACCTGGAACAACTGTACCATTATTGGTGAGCTCTAGTGCACGTTGTTCGTCTGGAATGTCACCATTCTGATAGGGAATCACTATCAGCGCACGGTCAATAAAGACAGTATTGGTCATATGTTGCGCAACAGCAACGCATCCTTGATCGTGAAACTTGATGTAGCATATGCGAGATTGAACTGGCACGGCAACATCCCTAATCGTCGGGTACAATCTGATGTCTTCGATTTTGCCCAAATATCCGAACAACGTTTGCATCTGGTCCTTGGTGGCTTGAGGCGCGATATTTGTCACCTGAACGACTTTCGTCGAACCAACCGCCATTCTGACCGCTCGCTTTCTGACGAATTATCGCAATTCTGTTCGCAAAAGAAACGCGCGATTGAGGGAAAGAAGATCTTTTTCTTTTGCAAAGAGAGGTTATATGAAGGGTTATGTCGTATCGCTGCGATTTCGCACACGCACAGTATTTCGTGCACGTGTCGAACCGAATTTTTACCAACTCACTTTTTGTTGTTGTTTCTCGAGCTCTTTTCAAAAGAAACTCGCGGACGAAACACTTTGTTGAAAAACTTTACTTACTATACGATAAAAACATTAGAACCGCCACATTCTTCCTTCGGCTTTTGGCTTCTTTCGTTTTCGAGAACGGCGTTGCGTTGTACAGTTGTACAATCATTTACACAGCAGTTGCATGCGGTTGGCGGCAGTGGGTGAACTGAAAGGTAACCGCGTTCTCGAACGAAATATAAATACAAACACACGCAAGTTTAATCAGTTGATTTTACAAGTGCGATTTAAACTTATTACGTATACTAATCTCTCATGATGCAATTTATTGCAATTTATTGCAATTTGTTGCAAAACATAAAACAATCAGACAACTAATTACATGAAATTGCAATTTATTGCATCACAGTCCAAATTTCTTTATTTTCAACGAGAAAGTTTCTTAAATTAAAATTATGCATATGTATGTAATTATTATAAAAATAATATCTATATTTTTTTACATGTAATTATTAAAAAATATTTTAAATAAAATATCCTTAAAAACACACGTACTGTCGTATTTTCAGCGAGAAAGTTTTTTAAATGAAAATTATACATATGTATATAATTATTTAATTATTATAAAAATAATATATATATTTTTTTACATGTAATTATTAAAAAATATTTTAAATAAAATATCCTTAAAAACACACGTACTATCAAAACACTATTTCGCGCAATATATATTTTGTTACACTATTACAAATTTATCTCTTAAAAAAAATGCAACTTTTTACATAAACCGTGACAATCACATCAATTGTTTTATATGAACGCGATTAGCGCATCCGTAACAGTTCATGTGATATTTTTCAACTGTCGGGAAAGTTTTTTTTGCGCTCGGTTGAGCAGAAAAAAATCGTGAAAATCATAAACGATCGCGCGCAACATGTGATTGTGTTCTGCGGAACGCGACCGATGCCTGCTTCGCCGTTGTCCGAACTATCAATTTAATTCGATTACTTCCAAGGGAGCGAGCAACTATCGCGAGCCGCACGACGTGCGTTCTCTAATCAGCCATCAATATTTCACAGCCACATGAGAACTCTCTGTCACATCACTTAAGGGAGGACAGCGAATAAACTACCTTCACCAGGATGTGAGTTAAAATTCCGTTCCTTCTCAAATGGCGTTCGAATTGGCGAATTATCGACCTCACGTGCACAATCGTCGTTTCGTTTTTCCGCGAAGTGTGATTTGCCAAATCGCACCGTTCCGGAAGCGCAGATTCGAACTTGTTCCCGTTCATTTTTTGCGTGCTCGCACGCAACTCTGCGAGCGAGCAATATAATATCGCGCGTTGCTTGTTTCCTCAATTTCCCCAGCAATATTGCATGTTGCGTCTTCCCGTTGCAAATTTCTCTCGTTATCTTTCTATTTCCGCTTCGATTTCGGTCGATCGCGAACTACCAGATGCGCGGGAAACAAGCGGCTGGCGACGCTTCGTTGCTTCAGCGTTATCGCGCTTACACCCGTCGAGTTCACCGTATGCTCCACATCGGCGGTGTTCTGCAATCCCGTAAACGTCCCGTGATCAACTCGTACATCTCGGGTTTTTTTGTAATCTTCACGTGCTTCAGCCAGTCCGTCTTCATCTTGAACTTCTGTCGCGATCATACCGACAATCTGGTGCTTCTGTCCAAATGCCTCGGTCTGTTCAGCAGCATCATCACGCCCGCCCTGATGGTACCTAAAAAAAATCACAATTAGCATCTAATTTGCGAGATTTATTATTCAGTATTAAGTTCTAAGTCGCCGATCATCTGTTGGAAGTTCAATCTCGGTAAAGCGAAATCTCTTCTCGCAGGCCGCCTGCTTCTTGGTGAAACGCCAGAAGCTGATTGAACTTCACGAGACGCTGAACGACCTCGTCGAACGGGAACTGATGACGCGCGATCGGGAATGCAGAGCGATTATGTTCGCCAGCTTGACCAAGTTCGACAGACTGTCTTTCATCTTGTCCTCCCTTTTGGCGTCGGCAACCGTGTTCTTTGTTCTGCCTTCTTTGATCAACGTAGCTCGTCAGATCGTACATCACACCGAGCCCAAGAGGTACAGACTGCCAATGCCGTCGAAATTCCCGTGGTCCGTCCCGACCGACGGCGGCTTCGTCTTTTACCTGCATCTTGCGTATCAATGCGTCACGTTCTGGTGGGTGATGTTCACTATCGGCAGCGTCGACGCTCTCTTCGGATTCTACGCGTTTCAGATCTCCTCCATGCTGCGCGCCATGCGCCACAATCTGACGAACCCGCGACCGAAGGACGTGTTCGCGAACGTTCTGAGAGAGTGTGTGCAAACGCACCGTCAGATAGTCAAGTGCAGCCGCATACTGGAGGACGTCTGGGGGCTGATTATTCTTCGGATGGTCATCGCCAACGCCGTGCTACTGTGCACTCTGATCTTCGAGGCGATGGTAAAGTTTTCATCCGCGAAAAATCTATGCGGAAGCTCCGGGAATAGATGCGCGATCGTAATTCGAAACTAATCGCGAGTTAAAAGCGCAATAATAAGAACTACATGACGCGACGCAATAGATAAACGCGCGAGACGACTCAGAAACTAAATCCAGGACCAATAACGTTAAAATTGTTCACGACGCCATGTGTCGCAAACACGTGATAGAGCGTTTTAGCGATAATGTTTAGAAAAATTATACACGTGTATGTTGTTTATATAAATAACAATTGTGAATTATGAATTTTTCAAAACTTGTGACAACAGCTTACGGAGATGACGGTCAGTCGTGTCTTTCTGTTCGCGTCTTACATAGGACTGAAGCTAGTGCAGACGTTCACCTATGCGTGGTTCGGCAGCTTCGTCACAAGCGCGGTAAGTTATCGCGATTTCGAGAAGAAACATCTTCTCTCATATTCCCAAATTAATATCGTTCTTCGCATAAAAAATGTACAATTCTCATCAGAGCGAGCATTTTCGTGAGGGAATATATTTCAGCGAGTGGCTGAACGTCAGTCTCGATCGTCACGTAAGAACGAACGTTATCGTAACGATGATGCAGAAGCCGATAACGTTAAAGGCGTTAAAATTATCGTCAGTGAACGTCAACATGTTCACCAACGTGAGTGTTTAAGAGCGTTTTTTTTTTTTTACAACCAAGTATTTTTTAAACCTTTTATCGCAACATACTTGCCCATGATAAATTACACGTTGTGTTTTAATCACTGCTGATTAATCGAAATTTTTGTTATCAGATGATGAATACCGCCATGTCTTATTTTTTCCTCTTGCAATCTCTGGATGAGCGTCAGTGAGGATGAGAGTTGCGAACGGATTATTTTCTAAAGATTGCATATAATAATTAGTGTAAATAAAATATAGCAACCACTACCTATATAGAATTGTTACAAAACTTAAGAGCGATAGCCAACAATCGAACATTACATACATGATTACTTATCTGTTTTCGCAGATCGGAACACGTTTTTATTTACGTGATAAAACTAATTCTCCTTATTATCTAACTCCTGTAACCCATTTTCTTGCGTCCTCGCGAATACGCTTCCTCTGTTCGCGGAGAAGACACCGCCAGGAGTCTATACACTTTTTGCCGCGAATTTCTTTCACTTTATCTGACGCGTCAACCTCTTGAAGTCCACGCCGAAGAGTTATTTCTCGAAAATTAAAATATCGAGACTATTGATCCTAATCGAAAGTATCGATAGGTGCGTTCAGACAACTCAACGGTTGAGTGATCATCACTTATGATAGGACTATTCTTGAAAATCTGAAGCGGTTCCAAAAGTATGATCCAATCAGAAGTGATTGGGTTGCGTTCAGACAACTCAACGGTTGAGAGATCATCACTTATGATAGGACTATTCTTGAAAATCTGAAGTGGTTCCAAAAGTATGATCCAATCAGAAGTGATTGGGTGCGTTAAGACAACTCAACGCGGTTGAGAGATCATCACTTATGATAGGACTATTCTTGAAAATCTGAAGCGGTTCCAAAAGTATGATCCAATCAGAAGTGATTATCTCTCAACCGTTGTGAAACTGTTGAGTTGTCTGAACGCACCCAATTACAAATCTGTGTGTTTGTGTGGCGCCACCGCACCTGTCATTTTTCAAAGTTAGTACAAACTCAGCTGATACTCCTGTGAATGTTGACAAACAAATTTGAATTGCTTTCTACACGAGAATTCGTATGTATGCGACAATAAAATTTATAACAAAATAATAATAAACTCAGTTAGAAAAAGAATAGATAAGAACAATTAAAAATAAATTATACGTGTACATGCGTGTCTTTGTAACCTGTTCGTTGCATCAAGACACTGGATATTTCCAAAAATGTTGCACGAAATCTTATTGTCCCTCTGGGGATGTTCAACCAGTGCGTCGGAGATGATAAAAAGAGAAACAGAGGTAAATATATTTTTATTATTATTTTAACGTATGTGAAAAATTATATAAAAGCGTGAAGATATGTGTTGAAATTTGTAAATGTTTTTTAGTCTATAGAATTGGATAAATATTTACATCCCGGAGAACAAGCGCTGCTCAATAAAATATTGGACGTTGCAAAGGCCTGCAATGTTGTGAGAGATTTTATACACGCGGTCTGCAGCGAGGATGCAAATGGTCTCAAATGACAATTTGATAAGAGATTTTGATGGAAAATATTTTATCCACTATATACAGTTTGTACACACATTTATTGTATATAAACAAATAACTGATTGATCTTGTAGAGTATACAATTCCTGGTTTGTATATACGCGCTCTGTGCGACGGAATGGATCAAGCACTAGAGCCATTTAGGAAGGAAATAGTTGAATTGGAGAACACGGTTTTGAACAACAGCCACACACCTCTGTCATTAATTTATTGCAACGTCGACAAGTATTCTTGTTTATTTTCTCTTCTGCATTCTATTATCAGTGAGGTAACTATATACTTTTCTCTTTCAGGGAAGAGAAATCTTTTTTTTGACTAAATTTTATTAAAAGAAATATAGACAGAGATCGATTAAATGTTAATTTGTAAATGTATCAATTTCTTCTCTGCTTCAGATTCGCACACAGAAACTTCACGGTTGCAAATTGCTGCAATGTCTGCATCAGCGCATGCACACTGGCATACCCGAGATCAACTCTACCTTAGAATTGTGAGGAATTTATTTAAAAAAAAAAGTAACGACATTTGTTACAATTATCACGTTTATTGATATTTTTTTGTTTTTAATTTTTAGAATGGCTCATTCCGTTCACATTGTTTTCTACAAGCATCTAACGAGCTGGTCGTTGTACGGCCGCCTGGAAGATCCCTACAAGGAATTCTTCATACAAAAAGTATCGAGTTGCGAGAATATTGTAAAGGAGAATGAAAAGAACGACATGGACACGCACGAGAGTAGCAAAACTTTCGGCGACGACATGTGGGACTACGATGTCCAGATAGACATGCTTCCTTCTTACATCAGGCCATCACTGGCAACCAAGATCCTGACTATCGGTCAGACGGTCATCATGTTTGGAAACGATCCGAGGCAGAAAAAAGGTGATTTTGTGAAAAAAAATGAGACTTTCAAAAAGTTTCTCTAAAAATCTCATTATTGTGCGATGTGGCATTTTACCAGAGATTTATGAAGACTTTCTCAGATTTTAGCACGATGTCCAAGACAGAGAACACCGTGTGGGGTGACAAAGAGTACGAGTATTTCAGAAAACTGCAGCATCTCCAGGCCAAGTTTGTGTTCAATATCGTCGAATTCGATCGTACGATCAACGAGTTGAAGCAATGCGTGACCGAACTTCTGTGGCACGTCGCTGTCGAGGAGGCCCAACTGATGCAGCAGCTCAAGCTGGTGAAAGAGTTCTTCCTGATGGGACGCGGCGACTTCTTCTTGGAATTCATCAAGCTGACGGCGCACATTCTGAACAAGACGCCTACCAGTCACACGTCCCGAGACATCAACCTCGCGTTTCAAATGGCGTTGAGGAAGATGCACCTAAATGATGAAAATGCCATAGATAGTTTTACTTTCGCGGTGCCCGTGCCGGTTTGCGAAAACGAAGACGTCGATACGGACGACACTGATTTTCACGATAACGAGAAAGCAGATCCTAACGGTACTCTTGTTTTATCTTTTTATAAATTTTTATTTCAGATATTTAGAAGAGAAACATTTTAAACTCTGAATTGCGTTAATTGTGTAATTCTCTTTTTTGTTTTTTTCTTAGAAAAACGTGGATGGGGCATGATTACATTGAAATACAAAGTCGTTTGGCCGTTGCATCTGTTGTTTAGTCCAGCCGCGCTAAACGATTACAACACTTTGTTTCGTTTTTTGCTGAGAGTTAAAAAGACTCAGATCGATTTGTGGAATCTCTGGAGTGAACACATGCATCATAAAAATATGTAAATGATATTTCTTTTTTTTTTTCATCAGAGAATTACAACAAAAGATTTTTTTCTCACTTTTCTCCTTACTGTCGAACTTTCATGAAATTTCAGCGAAATCGGAGTGATCCAATTGCGAAACAATCTGATATTTATTGTTGACAACTTGCAGTATTATCTGCAGGTAGACGTGATGGAAAGTCAGTACACCGTGATGGAAGCAAATATGAGGAACACGCGAAATTTTGAAGACATACAGAAAGCGCATTCCGTATTCCTGGCTAACGTCATGTCGCAGACATTCTTGCTAGGCAGTGGAACGGAAAAAAGAAATCCGGTTAGGTTCCATCATCCATTGTAGACCATCGTGTCTCTCCCTCTCTTTTTGTATCAATTATTCTCCGTCATTCTCTTAATATTTATAAATTTGTTGCAGGTGAACAAATTAATACAGCTTTTGTTACGACTGTGCGACGATTTCATCTTGCAAGCTTCCATGTGGGAAGTCGGCAATCTGTTCGTGACCGAGAAAGAAGAGCTCAAGACACTCTCCGACACTCTCGACAGCTTGATGGACTGGTTAACGAAGACGTTGAACAGAGTGCGCGCACAACCGAGCGGAGAACACTTGGCTCGATTACTGTTGAGACTCGATTTCAACAGATGGTTCAGTAAAAAAGTTTAAAGGAAGTACAAATTCATTTGCAACAAATCGCAAGCAAGTTGCGTTGCTTCGAAAAAGACTTAACATGTACATATATAATGTTTTTGTAATATATATATATATATATGTATATATATTTAACCTTTCACATTTAATCTTTTCTTGTTCAAGGACCTCCGAAGCTAGGATCTCTTATTCATGCAACAAGTGAATGTTAAAAGTATTTTATATAATATATATCACATATATATAAGTATAAAAAGAATAATTCTTAACTATAAATTGTCGAATGGCGTTTGAGATCGTTTATAATATGTAGAATGTATGCGTTATCTTATCGCAGACACGCGAAATGATTTCTAATCGCTGTCATCATTGTAATCGTCGTCGTCGTACGACCCGAACGTGCCTTCGCCTTGACGTTGTCGCAACTGTATCGCATTTTTGACGGACGCGTCGACGGACAGTTCCTCAGCGGTGAAACCGTCCTTGTTCTTCAATGTTGAGTCGGCATTGTGCTCCAGCAGTAAATTTACCATCTCCAAATGCCCGTGACTTGCCGCCGCGTGCAACGGCGTGTCGCCCATTTTATTCTACAAACAAAAATAGAGAAACAATCTCTTCAGGTACAACACAAAAGATATAAATATATTTTTACAAAATTCTCTAATATAAAAAGATATTTTTTCTCTCTGTTTTCTATTACTTGAGCGTTTACTGCGGAATTGGATAAATTCAAAAGTTCTCTTGCGCATTCCAAGTGACCGGTGCGCGCCGCCCAATACAACGGTGTGTTTCCAGCCGCATCTAAACCGGTCCCCGATATGCCTTGTTTCAAATATTCTTTCAGGAAATGCAGATTACCGCGTCTTGCGGCGTCATGCAGTGGCAACTCAATCTCTTGAGTTTGTTCCTCAACTAAGATTAAAAAAAACAAAAACCATATAAACGTTATACTAGAAAGAAACAAATTTTCCACAGTGCTTCTTACCATAAGTGACAGGTATGAGTCCTTTCTGATCTCCGCACTTAGCTCTCCACCATTCTGAATCCTCATCTTTGTCGTAAACATACAGCAGATCACCTTCATCGAATGACAGTTCGTCCGCCTGTAAAAGAAGGTATGATCGCACATGTAGTGATTTATTTATGATAAAAGGTTTTATTTTGTGTGTGTAATTGGATCATCACATATAAAACTATATACTCACACGTTGCGCAGTATACTTGCATAACGCTCTGACCACTTTTACCTTACCTTAAAGATAGCAAGTAAGACAATCATGTTAATATTTTTATTATCACGAAATAAAAAAGTAAACATTAAGATATTAAGATAAGTTCCCTTAAATTGCAATAGAAATGTTTTAGAACTAAACAATTTAATACAATTTTAAAAATCAAAACTAGTTATTTATCAGAACTTTTATTAAAAATATTAAACTTAGACAATATTACACAAAAGGATTTTTATGCAGATGAGAAACCTATGTAGCGTGAAAACTAATCAATAGACTTTTATTTTTTATTTCCTAACCTACAGTACAATCACAAAAATTATAAATGATTTCGCGTATTAATAACAAAAATGATTTTTACTTGAATTAGTTTATTTTGTAAATAAATTAATAAGCACATATATTACTTCGTGAAACATTTTTTGGATTTATCAAATGCGATATCGATTGACCGAGATTAATGATATAACCTTAAATTTTACTTTATTAGAATTTTTATTAGCGATATACATTAAATATATAAGTAATTATTATTAAGTACACGCTGTACAGAAAGTAACAATATATACACATATAAATTTCTACATATACTTCTATATATACATAAATACGTGTATCAAAAGTTTTGTTAACAGACTAAGTGAAGGAAATCTTTCTGGAATTTTATATGTGTGTATATGATGAATACTGTCAAAAACTGTGTGTGACGAGATTGTACATCACAATCCGCGATGCCGAAGAAAGTTATTAACATTACGCATTACAATTTTTCAATATATTTACCAGGCTTCCAAGTGGTTTTAGGTAGTACAGGTGACTTTATCAGCACACTCATGACTGTGTAAATTCACTTTCATCATAATAACAATCAATAGTGAGTCATGTGTAAGGTACAGTTTAATATAACAAAGTTGTACACATTACTTTTATTTTATAATTTTTCTAATTCTTACCTTCACATCATTTATGTACATTTATCTTGAGATATTCATGAATGTATATGTACCCTTTTCTGAGCCATCCTTATAAACAGCACCATATCTGAAAAAAAGTGCAACAAATCTTACTAACTTTTTTTTCACTGTTAATTTCACTGTAAATAGAATACGTATCGTAAAAATTTAAACAATTTGTATTAAAAATTAAATATAAGAAAGATACAACTGCTTTGTTTTGAGAAGTATCATCAGTTTTATACATGAAATGCTTACTTAAAAATACAATTAGGACAAAAGCTATTATAAGCCACACCCAACATCTCCATTTTGAATTGGCATGTTCTTCCAGCTTCAAGGATTCCTTTTTCAATTTGACAGCATTAACGTCGGTCAGTTTGTCGGACTTTTCCAGCATGATGATGTCCTTTTTTATGACAGCATTTGCCACCAAGGCGTGTTCCTTTATGCTACTGGTCATGGAGAGCATGTTCTCAGCGATCTTTTCCTGAAGATTACGATTGTACTTCAGAATGGCATCCAGATCTTCATCCTGGGTGTTGGAAGTGGACAATCTCTGGCGTATACCATTTTTATTTGAACCTGCAGCATATCGCGCATGATCAATTTGAAGCACAAATATACAGAAACACATTCTGACCTAGTATCAAAGTAGATAAAAAAAAATTGATTGTACTCTTGTTAGTGTGAAATAATTCTGAACGCAGTTCCTGATTGTATTTGGCAACGGTCTTTTGATGGATTTGCGTTGTGATGTTTGTAGAGTCATTCACTATAGCTGAACTTTTTGGTAACAATTGTGCGGCAACTACTCTCTCCACCGGATTCGACAATTTCATTGCATTTATTACTCCCTTTAGGAAATCTATTCGCTTGGTGTAGTCCGTTATTGTATCGGTAGATGGTTTGCTATAAAAAGAAAATCCATGATGCAAATGTAACACACATCAAATGGTGAAACATATGTATGTTTTGTATAAAAATAATTTTGTTTTAAATAGTTAAAATGACATTACTTTGGTAGGTTTTGCAGCTCTTTTATCATGTCGTCCAGTGCAAGTATGTACTAAAACAAAAAAAGAAAATTTACTTGTTTATGTACAAACTTACACATAAATTTATTTAATTAACAAATTCGTTAAGAGAAACAAAAAAACTTGAATATTTGCATTTTTTCGTTAAATAAATTAAAATTGTTTACAAATGTAAAGGTTAGAACGGATCAACATTTTTTAAACAGCTGTTGAACAAGAACCTTCTCGAGTTTCCAGTCTTTGTGAGGATCATCTTTCGCTATTAGCTCGCATCGCGTTAGAAGACGTTTGATATTAATCTCCAGTCTAGATGTTTGAGTCATTTTTTTACTTAATTTAATAAGAAATATATAATAAAAACACAGACAGACGCACGTGAAATGTTTTCGCGTACGGTCACGGTCGTCTGTACGTGTGTGTATCTACGTGTGTATATAGACGTGCATCATATGTGCATTCGCTGCATCTCTCGAAATCAGATGACGTAAGCGGTCTCACGTCTGCGGTGCGCTCGTGGTGGAGTGTTTTGCAACGCGTGCGGCGGAACGCAATTAAAAAAAAACAAAAACAGATAACGTGTACATCGCAATTGCGATATCGCGTACGCGTAAAAAAACACGAGAGAAGTCAATCGATCGATCGAATGCGCGAAGGAATGTCAGCGGGATTGGAAATCTCGTTTGTCACCTGAAGGGATCCGGAATTTCTACGAGAAGTTGAGGTTAGTTGACTTTTTTTTTATATATATATATATTATTTTCGCAAATGTGCGCCAGATGTAAGGAACAATCGAATTGAGAGAATATTTCGATCGTCATCTAATTTGTAGTTTACGTTGCATAATTTTTGTTGCCGCGATTGTCATTGCGAGACTCTCGCAACGGAGCGCGAAGGTGTCTTATCTCATCTCCGTGGAGAACGCGATAACGTGTGTGCGTGTCCACACGGGCGGTTGCCAGTCGGATCAGGTGAGTGGAGAATTTTTGAAGGAGGATAAAAATGTTTAAAAAAAAAAAAAAAAACATTCACGTACGTGATTTTACATCGCGATACGCAAATGTCATCATCGCGTTATCGCACCTGTAATGCGTATGGCGCGAGTGTGTGTTTCAACACGTGCACGCGTGCGCAAATATAAAATTTATATAGAAACAATAATGTTACTCGGTTTAGTACACGTGATGTAATAACAATTGTAATTTCAACAGATAATCGTCTTTTGAAAGATAAAAGATCCAACGAGAGAGGAAGTCTCGTTGGATTGTAATAATCTGCGATAAACATCAGAGAACGGAGAGCGATAATTCACCCGGGACGTTACTTCCCGGTAGGGGAAATCGATATTCCCTTCGAATATCCGCAGACAACGACGTCTCCCGACGATGGAAAATACACGCGCAGTCGCCGCGCTCCTCGCCGCATGCGTGTGTGACCGAGCGATCGACGAAGTCGCGACCCTGGAGTTCGGTTTCCGCGGCAACCGCGACTTATCGATTCACCTCATGGGCGTCTCATGGCTGGCGTCGTTGTGCGGACAACGACAACGATCGAATAACTGCGGTATCGCCTTTCTTCTGTAAGATTTACAACAACAATTAGGTAAAACGCACATCCGATATATATATATATACAAGTCGGAAGCATTTTGGGAAACGCGCGAACAACATCTGCGAAGTGACACTTGGCGAAAGGAAGAGAACAGCCGGGAATGCTAAACGAGATTCGTGCAAAGCGCGCGATCGTTCGGTGTTGTTCGTTGCAGGACACGTTGAACGTGCCGCCTGAGCACAGGAAGTACCGGCGCGTTCACGGTTTGCAATTGCCGTTACACCCGCAGCAAGTGATCGGCTGGGTGTTGCTGATCGTCGTGTTCGTCGGCACCTTCACCGTGCTGCTGACGACACCGCCGCTCTTGCCCGATCTGCGGTTCGTACTGTCTCTTCTGTTCGCCGCCCTATTCGTGCTGCACGTGTTGGCTCATCTGACGGTGTTGCTGCTGGACCCGGCCGATCCGGAAGTACGCGCCCGACTGGTCGATGAAGTCGTGCCCGAGTTCGATCGCGCGAAACACCGACACGTAATCGAGAACGGTCGGTGTCACCTGTGTAACATAACGACACGCGGACGTCGCACCAAGCACTGTTCCATTTGCAACAAGTGTGTGCCGCGGTTCGATCATCATTGCAAGTGGCTGAACAATTGCATCGGCGGCCGTAACTATCCGGCTTTTCTCGCGTGTTTGGCGTCGACGCTCATTATTGCGCTCGCGGTTTCCGCACTGTCCGTGGGCGAACTGGTGGTCGTTAACACGGATCTATTTGGCGGCAACAGACGTTGGATAGATGACAGTTACAACGACACAGACAACATGAACAACGCGACCACACCGTCGCCGTCGTTACTGATAACCGGTACCAGTTCGCTTGTTCTCATCACCATCATCGGTGTGCTCTCAGCCGTCGCCGCGGTTCTGCTCATACATCTATGCTTCTTTCACGGCTACATCGCCTGTCTCGGTCTCACCACGTACGAATATGTGCGAAGCAAGCGGGAGAAAAACATTGCCGATTCCAGAACGACATCGTCCGGTAGTTTGTGCGGCACGTCTATGTGCAGCGGTAACAGGGAAGACGTCAATCAGATGAGCGTCACGGACGATCTCTGTTCCCGGTTCTGCATCAACAGACCGTTGCTCAGGGACAACGCAACCACGAGACGTACGGCGACTACGATGACGGACGTGTACGTTCGTTCGACGCATCAGGAAGAAACGCAGAACGACGACGTGACGGAAACGGCGAACAACGACGTCTGTTCCAAGTCGCAGTTGTCGAAGAGCAGCCGGAACTTCCATCTGTGTTTCTCGTACGATTCCAACACCACCGAGACTTCCATCGAGGTTTCCTCCTCGCGAACAACGGCGACGGCGGAATTGAAAAATCACGGGGAATCGATCGACGCGAAATCGTCGTCCACACCATCGCCGGTGTCCTGCTGCTTCTCCATCATGAACTATCCCGAGAGCAGACATCACGACAGAAGCGGTCACAAGTGTCGCAGCGGTGAGAACCTTCCCAAGACCTCGAAACGCTCTTGCGGTACGATGAGGCGGATACAGACCTTTCTGCAAACTCGTCTGAGAAAGGGTTCGAGGCAGAGATCGGCGATCTCCTCGCCGGGGGTCGCTCGTCACTGCGGGAACAAGATAATTCCGCAAACGAGCGATTCCACGGAAATTTTAACCCCGTCCACCGCCGAGACGCGCGTAGTCGAAACGACGACGTCCACGATAGAACTGCCGGCGACGTCGCTGCCGGATTACATACGTCCGCCGGTCAAACTACCGTCTCTGGATCTTCCTCGTAACGTCCACAAGAGCAGACGAACATCCGCGAATCCCGGAGACATCTCCGTGTTGGTACCGATGCCGCCTTCCGTGACGTCCAAACGAAATCAGGTCCACCTCTGCACCCGACGGAATCTGAGTTTCTCCAGAAAGCGGCCGCGCTTCAAGGTCGGCTCGCACGTGGTCACGCAAACCGCCCAACTGTCGCCGATACCGGAATCGGAATTCTCGAAACCGGCCACACCGAGATCGCCAACACGATCAGATTCCGTTTTCGCCTTCCCGCCGTTACACGAGTAACGTTTGTCGGCAGCACCGTACACAAAGGTGCTTCGCGTTTTAGTCCAAGTTTAAAGAGATCTCTCACCTTGTGCAACGCGCCCGTGTCACACCGACACGATTATCACATGTACATTTGTACATACGTCGTGTCGCGCTACTTTTTTTACCACTAGAAACAATGCAATGTTCGAAAAAGAGTGTGCTATCACTTCACCTTCATCATGCAACAACTTCATCTTCGCGGGAACTTCTCTTGTACACTAGGAAAATTAATAGATTAAGCTTCGAGTTTCGACGTTTCCCGTAAATAATATAAATCGCTTCACCTCTCATGCGTGCAGATAATGTCTGAGATCGCGGAATCGTCCGACAAGAGGGATGACGTCCCGATAAAGAAGTCGTCGAATGTTTGGGAGGACTTGGGCTCGCCGCGCTGCATAGTCGCGCCGATGGTGGACGCGAGCGAGTTAGCCTGGAGGCTGCTTAGCAGACGACACGGCGCCCAGCTCTGTTACACACCGATGCTGCACTCATCCGTGTTCTGTCGGGATCCCAAGTACAGGCGAGAGGCTCTCGCTAGCACTAGCGAGGATCGTCCACTTATTGTGCAGGTCTGCGCTAAATTACACACATGTACAGCTTATACAAATCTTTACGCAATATAGAGAAAAAGAGAAGCGGTTGCGGAAATTTAATCCTTGTTGATCTCTGTCGCGTGAAGTTGATTTGGAATTTCAATATCAAAAAGCATCGCTTGCAATTTTAAGTATACAAAACTCGTGTGTCGATTTTTAGTTTTGCGGTAACGATCCCCAAATATTGTTGGAGGCTGCACGCTTGGCCGAGCCTTATTGCGACGCGGTGGACATCAATATCGGTTGTCCGCAAGCGATTGCTAAGCGCGGACATTACGGAGCTTTCCTGCAGGACGACTGGGATTTATTGAGGAGAATCGGTACGCGTGCCATTCACGCTTCATTCGATTTTTCGAAGAAGCTTTATTTACAACCGATTTTTTATGTAAAAAGTCGTAAAAAAAAATTTACGACACAAAATCATAATGACTCTCTTGTTATTGTGTGTACAGTTTCGACTTTGAAGAACGGACTGCGCGTACCTGTCACATGTAAATTGAGAGTGTTCCCAGAAATTAGCCGCACTGTAGAATACGCTTGCATGCTAGAAGATGCGGGTGCTAGTTTGCTCACTGTTCACGGACGTACGAGAGAGCAAAAAGGTCCATTGACCGGAGTAGCGTCTTGGAAACATATTAAAGCCGTAAGGTGATTATTTCTGTCTACTCTCTCTCTCTCTCTCTCTCTGTCTACTTGATGTCTATTCAAACAAGAAATTGTTTTTTTTTCTCTCTCTCTAATAATCACAAAGTAGTCTAAAACTTTCGTGCTTCAAAACGTAAAACTTGTAAAAAAAAACTCTCAAAACTCATGCTCATCGCTATCTAATTTCTTCCGCAAACTGTTTGCACTCCCCCGCTTTTGCACTACTTTGCAGTAATTCGTTTACTCTCTTACTTGCTTTTTCTTACCCCCAAACTTATCGGACTACAAACGTGTCCTCACTCACTGCGCGCACACGACGAGAAACTGTTGGAACGCGAAAGTAAAGAAAGACTGAATCAAAAATGTGGGAAAATGTTCAATTCTAAAAAAAAATTATTGAGAAAAAACGAAGCTGTGATTGTATTCCTGTTGTTCCTAATGTGACGACAAATTATTTCCTTTAATTGTTATCAAGTCAATAAATATTACTCTTACGCAAGTTTTGCCGTTACAAATCGTTTCTTTATTAAGCCTTATTAACACAAGTTGTAACAAAACTAGTATCTCAGATAATTGATGTATTTATGCTTTCATCAAATCGACGTGCAAATTTCCTTAATTTTACTCTCTAGAAGAAGTAAAAAATCGTCGATTCTCTGTGGAGACGACAAAAAAAACAGTGTTTTCATTTTGTGTTAGTGACGTGCGAGATATAAGATACAACAACCCTAGGACGTTCGGTTTCTTCGAGTTGCCAACTCGAAGACCTGGCAAGAACCCGAGCAAGCTTCGTGTTCTGGAAATACGAAGTTAGATCTGCTTTCATAGTCTTCAGGAAAATATTGTGTGTATGTGTGTGTATGTGTATGTGTGCGCGCAACATACGCAATGGATCAATATTGATCCACGTATCGACCTATCAAGGCGCTCCGCCAAAGCTCGTTCGTTTAGCTTTTGATCATTGAACGCTCAATTACAGGGACACCGTAAAAATTCCCGTGATCGCCAACGGTAACGTACAATGTACGCAAGACTTGGAGCGTTGTATCGAGGAGACTCGGGTACATGGCGTGATGTCGGCCGAGGGGAATCTTTACAATCCGTACATATTCGAGTCTCGTTATCCCGCTTGTTGGGAACCCGCGTTGGAGTATTTGGAACTCGTGGAGCAACATCCGGCACCGGCTTCGTACATTCGCGGCCACTTGTTCAAGCTGTTTCATCACGTGTACGTATTAATCTTTCGATCGCTGCGGCAAATCGCGAATTGCAACGCGAATTGCAACTACTTTACGTATGTGCAGCATGCTTTTAACTAGAGAGTAGATTTTGTTTAGCAGAAAATCAAAAGGAAAGAGAGGATCTCGCCACGAATTCCACGATGGAAGCGTTCAAGAACGTTGCGTGCACTTTGAGGGATCGTTATTTGCCCTATCACGAGGGACGTCTGATATGGCAGACTGAAAAGACAGGTAATTTAATTTTTATCTGATCAACGAAAACTGTCATTTACATTTATTGTACCGCGTTTGTATATATACATATATTTGTGTATATATATATATATATATATGTTTCCTGTGATGTTGCTAGACTATAATTTAACGTTGCCGCCGTGGTTGTGTCAACCTTATGTGCGAGAGCTACCGCACGAACACACGCAAAAGTTACAGGTAAACTAAACGATCACGACAACAAATGTTATATGTATAGCGTGTTTCTTCGTGTATTTTAAGTGTAATTTTGTTTTTAAATATATTTAATATTTTTTACATTCTATACCTACAGGACAATTATTTGAGTAATAACAAGAAGAACTTTTTAGGAAGGTGCACCACGAAAACGGGAATACAAAGACGAGGACGGGAACGAAATATCGCGAAAATCGTCGAAAAAACTTAAGCGAATAGCACGCCGGCCGAACAAAGCAACGTCAGTACCTAAGAGAAGCTCGGATCGCTGTCACGATTGTCCGAATCCTCTGGTTTGTTATTAAATCACTCTCTAAAAAAAAAATCAATCCTAATTAACAATTAAAAAAACAGAGTTCTCTAATACGGTATTTCAAATTTATAGGGTTTCAAGTGCGAGTATAAATTGTGCCGACAGTGCTGTAGGAACAAATGTTATATAGAAAATTTAGACTGTATCGGACACAGAAATCGGACGAGGACCAGAAGACAAATGGCGAAGGATTTCGAGGCGAAGCGTAAGAGCATCGAGAATGTGATATGAGACACGGTGTATAAAGATATATTTTAAATAAACTTATGCAATATTTTAAGTTTCGTTCTCTCTCATCTCTTGTGAATTTTATTCCAAGAGATCTGATGTCGTTTTTTTTTGTTTATTAAGTTAAATTAACACCATAGACCCACACACAAAGCGGCGGTCTAACAGCGACGTATCGTACAACGATATTTTACACAATATGTTACAAAGTTGGTGAGGTAATGTGCAGATCTCGCGAATCCGAGACATGTGATATCGCAACCATTTTTTTAATACTATCATCACCATCCCGTGTCCAACTTACAAGTATCACTACACAGACGACGTGGCTGGAGTAACAGACGTTAACACGGTCAGTAACTTGTTTTCCTTCACTAGTTCGTTACGAGACTTGACTTCGTCGTCTTGCTTTTTCGTGTTACTCCAATATTTGTTGTTTGTGAGTATCAGTATCATTAATAGAGGCAGATGCAGTAACGAAAATCGAAATAATTTTCTAGAATTAGCACTATCCGAATGTTGATTGAATCTCCAGGCTAAAATTGAGAATTTTATAAATCTAAATGAAACAATTTCCAATCGAAAGCATATCTACTCTGTTTTTCTTTTCTACACAACTATTGTAAATATTTAAGCGTGCACATAAATGTGAAGTACAATAATATAGTCAACCATATATTGTTTAACTATCAAGGTTGTTGCGAAAGCTATTTTTTTAAGTAAAAGAAAGAAATGTCAAGAAACAAATGTCAAGTAACTGACGCACAAACCTCACACACATTTAAATGAAGAAAATCTTACCTAAATAAAGAAAATATACGTTGAGTGGCGTCGAAGTCAGTGCAAACCACCAACTGGTCACGTCTAATACAGGAGCCAAGTAGCACAGACCCGTCAGAGCAGCGGTGTATCTCACGGTTGTTCTACGACACAAACCCGGATCTGTCACGGCCATCATTCGATAGCCAGCTTGCGAGTAATCAGGTCTTAGGTTCCAAGAAAGCGCGTTGAAGTGTGGAAATTGCCACGCGTACAAAATACCAGGCAGGATCCAAGCACCTGGTGTCATCACATCGCCGGTGCAAGCTGCCCAACCCATGAGTGGAGGTATTGCTCCTACTGTAAATTACAAAACAAATTACATCTCTTTTCTGATGTATTGAGAAAAACAACCTAACTCACCAACAGAACCGATCCATGTATTGGCGATACTAATACGTTTCATAGGCGTATAGACGAGCGTGTACAACACAACATTAACAGCGCCCAAGATTGCCGTCACGCTGTTCACTTGATGGTAAAGTAAAGACAAGCCAACAACACCGGATATTGTCGCGAATACTGCTGCATGAACAGTCCTAGAAACCCATACATGTATACTTTGGTTATTATTCAATACAAAATTATGTTCAAAAAACTTTTAGACCAAATCAAATACCATCTGCAGTAATTACAGTATGATAACTGACTGATGGTTGTTTAAACCAAAAAAAAAAAAAAACGTGCGTCTGAAAAACTCACGTTAATCGACCACAAACCAACGTTCGATTTTTCGTTCGTTTCATTTGTGCGTCAAACGGAACTTCAAAAATTTGATTAATTGTATTTGCCGTGCCAGAGACTAAACCAGTGCCAAGAAAGCACATGGCAAATGTGTAAATGTCAAATGGCGCGGGAGCCAGTGCGTATCCAGCCATGGTTGTTGCCACAACAAGAGCTGCAAGAAATTTTATATGTACACATGTACACATCACAAAATAGCATAATCTCTCATCAAAATCAAGAGATCTACATTAAATTACAAAATTGTCTCTACGTTAGTGATATCAGCCGACCAATACGTACACGTCAGTTTAATTTTCGATAATTTGAGATACTGCTTGAGAAGTGTACCATGATCGGTAACCATAGGCGTCCATTCTGATTCCTTTACTTTTTCCGGATCTTTTTTAACTTTATGCGTGACACTTTCCTTAGTGTGCAGAGGAATTACTGAGGTCAATGGGATCACAGAGGCAACTCGCACTTTGCTATCTTCTACCGTTTGTGCCACTTCTTCCGCGCATATTCTTGTTGTCTTTTGCTTCGGACAACTGGAATACTAGAATTCAATTTTCTTTAGAAAATCAGAAGATAACAGCGCACATGTCTCGTGAAAATAAATCAACTAGTCAGTGCTACGAACTTTGACGATCGATAATTTCGGCACAAAATTACACGATATGCGCCTGCTGATTCTCAATGGGTGAACAATAAATAACATGATAAAGTTCTTTGGTGCCAACTGCTTATCTCCATTTACCTAGAATGTAAACACAGTACACATAACAGTCGAGTGTTGCAATTGCTACCTGAATGAAAATGTTTGTTTTTCAAAACAAGTAGACGATCACCACAAAACATAATAATTATTACTCTATATTTACAATCAATACTTTAAGTACAATGTTCCGTGCTTAATGAAAGAGTTCAACATCACATGGTGTTTTTTCATGTTCAACTGGATGTTAATTATAACCTATAAACTTACATAAACAGAGACACTTTTACGTACAGTAATTTGTTAATTACATTAATTTTTTACTCACGTTCCGTCATGTGATTTACTTATGACTCTCACTGCAAATATATGTTTATTCGTTACGTGATCATTATAGTAACGTCAAACTTGTCTTTCCCAAAAATACCACAACATGAACACCGATGAACATGTTGAAAACCCGAAAGATAAAACAGTCACTCATGAAATATCCTGAAGAGTGCGCATGATTTATCTCCACATGGTTCTACTTCGTGCTATGTCCATATTGTGCGATACTGTTCGCAATTTTCGCGTTTGAAATTTTGATAAAATGATAAACAAAATCACGCAATTTTTGTATACAAATATTTATCTACAGAGATCAAATCCTTACACCTGTGACAAATGACATTTCATTTTATTTCAAGACGCATATAAATGTTCACACAATTTCATTATAATTTTAAAATTTTCTAATCTCATCATATAATGTTAAAAATCTTATTTAAAAAATTCTACTATAACAGGTATATTACAAGGGAATGAATTCTATTATTACGGTTCCATATTACAATATTATAAAACGAAAAATTAGCAATTCAAGATGTATGAATTTCTTCTATATTTATGTGAGCGATAAAACGTAGCCTCATTTGTAAAGCGGGTCTCAATCTTCGTATGATACACTCCACCTCGTTCTTCATCGTGTCGCCGACAAACATGTATTTTATGTGATATCTATGATGCGATTAATAAAGGAATAATATGTGATAGAAGAGTGTATAAAAGTGTGCACAGACATACAAATCATACAATACAATCATACATACAATTGAACTTGATGATGTCTTCGAGGTAACGTTAAAAAACTAATAATAAATATCATTTCTTTTCTGGAAAAATAAAGGAAACAATATATAATTAGAAAATAAAACAATTTACGAAAAAATTTAACTTAAAACATGTACGTTTAAAGGATACAATAAATCACAAATTGGGTCCATGTAATTCAAATGCGTTTGAGTGTGATCAACTCGTTCCAACATCTCGTACAAAGAAACTGTGAGCTCGACCACGCAATTCGGTCGCTCTGCGTTAAACCTTGCCAATGTTGGCCCGATTAAATGGCAGGCGTATATCAATTGTTCCTCACTGCTCACAACTGGCTGGAGTTTTTCCTTGATAAATCTGAAGAGAAATGTTTTTATTCATTGTTATTGATGTATAATAAAATTGTAAAAAGAATAACGAGACAAAGATATTCAGTAAATGACTTACTGAGGCATTGTCGTAATCTGTCCTACACCAGCATGATGCCAAACTGAATGCGCCAACGCGAGCATGTAGCTGTATTTGTTTTCCAGTAAGCTATTGTGCGTGATGTTAAAATTGAACAACTGAAATGGTGTTAAATTATTGTACTGCCAAGTAGTCAGACCAGGATTGCTGATGGTTTCCACCAGACGTTCGTGCAATGCTGACCAATAACATTCTGGCAACGCTGCCAGTAACAAACCAACACAATTTATCCACAAGTGTATTTCGTCTGCTGATATAACAGTGTATCTAAATAGAGTGACACACAATTGCGTAACATGTTCACTATTGATCAGATTAAAAAAGTTGAATGTGTGAAAGCGAAAATAGAAGAAAAACAAATACCCTTTAGCTACAACGTCCAACAGAGAATTGGCCACTAAATCTGGAGCAACCGGAAGTGCCATGAGTTCGACGCAAGTCACATACAATGCGTGCGCTGCTGGATTTGGGAATTCATTAAATCTCCAATCGGTTGCGGGAAAATGAGCTACACCGGACATCGCTTTAACAAATACAATAAAAATAATAAAAATAAATAAAATTAAACAATAAATAATAATAATATATAATAGAAAAAGTTGGTTTGCCTCACTTTTTTCAATTCTTTGTACAAGGCGAATGTAGTAGTCCAACTCTGGTTTCCATTGAAATGCGTCGTCACCAGAGCGCGTCATGTACATTTGATAATCCTCGGAAAGTGCCCATCCGGGCGGTCTAATTTCCCGTAACGATCCCAAAACAGCGGACGCCAATCGGCGCTTTAACGACGGCCGATCTCGCAACTTCCTTTCGTAGTAATGTAATGTATTATAAAGATATGTGACAGGTCGATCTGTGTAAATGAGTAAATAATTGTGTTTCGCATTACTTTAAATAATTCTTGTAATTACTTATTCTACGCGATAAATTACGTGATTTAATTTAAGACATACCGTGAAATTTGTACAAACATCCCAAATGTTCCAACAATATTTCCAAACTCTTGGTGACTTGTGGTATTTCCAAATACCGATGAACTACTATGTCAAAAACTGGTAAAAAGCGAAGACACACATTTCCGAAGTAAACCGGTAAACTTTGATACTGACTGGGTCCACCGCTCGTTTGTTCCATTATACCTTCCGGTGCAAATTTCTCTGGAAACTTTCTGTGAAAGGCAAGATGTTTCTCGTGCCAATTAGACTGTTTCCAATGTTCCGGCGAGTTTTCCTTGACAAATTCTTGTACCCTGTTTCTAAATTCCGCTGCTTTTAGCAGCAACAATTGAATGATGAAGAAACACACTTGTGCTTCACTACCTTCCTGAGTTCTCAGTGATAGACAGAGTACCAATCTGTCAATAGTCACTATGTTGTATTTCCAAATCATATCGTTAATGGTGTCGACACACTTGTTTACCTGTTGCTGACCGCCAACAGTGTTGGCGAATTCGAATACCAAATAATCGCAGAACTTCCTGAGATGAGCCGACAACGCTCTGGCTCCGATTCTTTCGAGAATTTTATACGCGATGGGATTGATGCGGTCGGTGTCGAGTATCATCTTCCACAACAAGCACAGAAACAAGGGCGGAGTTCCGGGCACAGAGAAGTGCGCCATTATGTCATTTTCGTTACTCATAGATTTCCAATTCCTATATTCCTCTTCGACAGCCTTTTTTATCTGTTGCTTGTTTTCGTTAGCTACGCTGTTTTGCTGGAAAAATTCACTCAACACCGGTGGGAAACACTGTAGGGTGTGAATAGCCCACGAATGCGGGGTGTTTTGCATGATTGTGTTCAGCAATTCCTTGCACCATGTGCCGCTGAGACTATCGGCGCCGGTGCCTGTGACGTGCATTGATCGCGCCAGTGTCAATACCAATGCTCTGTTCAGCTCTTCCGATTCCGCAGACACGAGTGTCTTCGGTTCCGATAAGAATCTAGACAGTTGCGGTTGCACCTCCGCCGAACCTAGCCCGGTAATGAGTCGCAGAGCTGTGCTTTCGACGCAAAGATGCAGCTGCGTTTGATTGGTCTGAGGCACTGCTGCGAGACTGTGAAGATGCGATAGCAACTGAACTCTGTAATGTGGTTGAATATGATGCATTCTGTAGCTGAACATCTCTAGCAACGTGTATAAAGTTCCCCAAGCATGTGATTTAAATACTGTCGGCAACAACTGACTGATAAAACCTTTTATGCCGAGGCTCTCGATCTCCGTATACACCAATAACCTACTGTAAGTCTCAACCAGTGCAGGCGCCAGTGCCATGTTACTCTTGGACTGCGCCAATTTAATCACGTGCGTTACGATGCTATGTATCAAACTCATCTTGGAATGCACCGTCAAAGAATCTAGAATTGACATCGAAAGTGGCGTCGTCGGTCCGCTTGCCATCGCCGCGTTGTTCTGCAGAGTTTGCATCGGTTGTTGCTGCTGATTTTTTTGCGTACCTAAAATAGTATCCACCAGTGCGGCCATTGGTCTGCTGAAATATTCTTGATTTGTCGAATAAGCGTTGCACAAAAGAGCGATACGGTAATCCGAACCCATGCAGAGAGACGTGTTCGGCATAACCAAGTGCTGTAGAAACTCATGATGGACCTTGAGCGTGTGCGGTATGGGTCTGTGAATGTTGGAATGTTCAGATTGAGCTTTCTTCAGCAGATGTATCCATATGCAGGTAATGGCCATTTGGTGTGTGCACAACGCTTGACTGTAGTCGGGTATGGGCAAGGGTTCTTTTTCCGGATAGAGAAGATCGTAGAGTTTCAATACTGGTAAGAAATTCGACAGCGGATTTCGTTGAATGCTGCCGGAAATAAATTGCAACAGCACCCACATTAAGTGATCTCTGCCCTTTCTCAATTCCCTGCCTGCTAATTTATCGTGTATCGCCATAACGATACTCGGAAAGCAAGCAAATTGGAAGAGAATGAAATAAATAAGCTGCGAAGACAGATGCAACCACACCCAGTGATTGGCTACAGTGCCATCCGTTCCTTCTAACGGTGATTCGTTTTCGGATCGTTCCATCGCAAGTACTACGAGTTCCACCAGCTGTTCCTCCAATACGACACAACGTTGTTTGTGCTGTTACATAAATAAAAATTACATTAATTTTGTTCAAATTCTCAGTTTACTCGTTCCTGTCTTTAGACCGCACTTTTGTAAACTCTATAATACTTTGAGTCTTACTTTGTTTTGAAAACTGAGCATTGAGCAGACCATGTCCCTGCTATATGGCTGTTCCAGAACATATCTAAGTAACTCTGTTTGAGGTTTGAGCAAGTCCGGATCATAAGGTAGATTTCCTTTCAAGAAAAACTTCAATGTATTAGGATCCAACAGCCAAGGATTAATTAAATGATCCGCGTATCCTGTGTGCTCAACTACAGGTAACATCTTAGAATGTCCTATTATAGATACCATTTGTGCTGTGTTACGAAAACTTTCCACAAAGTTTGAAAGCAATTTTGCCAATTTCTAAAACAAACACATCTGATTTAAAATAAAATCATATGCCAATATCTTCAACTTGTAACTTTGTAATATCACTCACCCAGTGAGGCCAATTTTTGCCATCGGGATAAGCTTTTTGTATTTCGTTGACTATAAAATAACTTGGCAACAAGCAAGCATTTCTATCAAAAATATATTCAATAACATTTTCCAAAGCTTTTAGTTGTGGCTGAACTGACGCATCTAACCGAGGCGGTATAGTTTGGGCCTTTTCTCTGCATCCCTAAAAAAAAGTAAACCACAAAATAATAAACTACACATCTCTGTGTAAAAAAAAAAAAGAATATTAATTAAGACAAATATTTTCCCATTTTAAGAAAAACTTACTTTCATAATTTCTCTAACTCCCTTGTAGTCAACTCCACCAATGATGTTTCGAATAAGAACGAAACATTCCACCCAAAAATCTTTCAACTGATATTGCAGTTTATCACAAGTCAGAATACATTCACACACCAATCTGTGAAAGAGTTCGCAAAGTTATCATTTGATAAACCGCAGAGAGGAACATAACATTGTGTAATTGAAATTATTTGAAAGTGTTGGTACCTGGCAGACAGAACATTTGACTGAACTAAATTCTGGAGTAACGACAACACAAACTGCAATCGTCTGTGATTTGTCATAGCCGCAACCATCGACAGAAATTGACGAACGGCAGCTTCTTGCTGTTCCTTCGCTAATCCGGTCACGGCTGTCTTCAGTTCGTTTTGCCATGTTGTTATCTTCTCACTGTCAGTGTTAAATTGATGAACGAGAACGCAGCTGAACGCTTCCTCTATCGCTTCCACTTTCTGCACAGATACGAGAGAGAGAGAGAAAGTAAACGAGAGAGAAAACACAAATTCTCTCTACAGTTTTAGCGAAAGAATTCACAACTGTTCTCCGTGTTATATGTAAGTAAATAAAAAAATTTGTAATGGAAATTAGCAACAAGTTAGTGTTGTCCCAAATACGAACCAAAATATCATTTACGATGTTCGCGATCTGAGTTTCGCTGCTCATTTTCCCGCGCGGGAGAAATGTTATTTAACGTGATATCTGTCCCACAATTATTCATTTACATGAATAAACAATCGCAACAACGTGTGTTGATCATATCGTGTACACACACTTTGCCGCGGTGGCTGACAGTGGTCGCCATTTCCCTACGGGGAAAAAAATTTCCAATAGCGATGGGATTGATGGGAAAACGCCAAATGGAAAACACTCCCGTCGAACGTAGCCGCTCAAATCGCGTTTGGAGACTCCAATCGGAACGAAGCGAGATCCGCAACCCAAAGGGTGCGTTCAGACAACTCAACTCAGTTGCACAAGATAGGTTGAGAGATAATCACTTCTGATTGGATCGTACTTTTGGAACCACTACAGATTTTGAAGAATAGTCCTATCATAAGTGATGATCTCTCAACCGTTGAGTTGTCTGAACGCACCTAATGGGTGTGTTCTCACTCAACAGGTGCACAACGGTTGAGAGATAATCACTTCTGATTGGATCGTACTTTTGGAACCGCAGCAGATTTTCAAGAATAGTCCTATCACAAGTGATGATCTCTCAACCGTTGAGTTGTCTGAACACACCCATTAGGTGCGTTCTGACTTGATGAACGCACCTAATGGGTGTGTTCAGACAACTCAAAGTCCGCGCAAGTCTCATGTAAACGGGGTCCTAAAAAATGTAAACCGCGCGGACCTTTTCGGACAACATTCCGGAACAACTTGCGCGGAGAGAAAACGGCGCAACGCGTCAACCCGATCCCCGTGTGTCGATTCTCATCGCCGCAATTAATGACGGTAGAGCTGCCATATTTTTTCTGCGTAGGTCCTGTTTTAGGGGGTCAATCAAATTGTTGGGGGTTTCGAAAGATGCTAAACAAAGTGATTCGCGGTGACCGAGAGCGGTGCGCGTGACAAACGACTGAGGAAGGAAACGAATTAATTTTTTTTTTTTTTTTTTATCCCCCAAGAGAGGCGACACAGAGAGAGAGAGAGAGTCAAACGTCTCGCGCGAACGCGAGAAAGGTATGCGCTCTCGTTGGCAATGCTCGAGCGAGGTTTCTTATAATCGGCGAGGCGAAGAAATATAAAGCCTTTCACTCGCGAAACATCTTCCTACGTGTGATAGGGAACTTTACGTCACGGAATTTTGCTCGCGCAAATGGCAGTGTGGTGCGTGTTGTGACGAGGTTATAAACTTTGAAGTTTTAAGATTTACGCGTATACTATATACGTATACGCGCGCTGCGTGTACTCGCGCGAGCGCACGCCGACGGGGCACGCAGGCGTTTTCGTTTCGTTCGAACCGAAAATACACATTTGACAAAATTATAATACAGCGTTGCGCGGCGGCGGCGGCAACAACGACGACGACGACGACAACGACGACGACGACGACGACGACGGTAGCCGCGGCGGCGGCGGCGATTCGCTTCCACGCACAGCGCGAGACATTTTTATGATTTTATCGAATTCCAGAATCCACACTCGCTAATGCACCCGCTTGACGGTCACTATTTTTACCTGCGCCCTTTTTCGTTACACACTTACTTATTTCTCTTGCTGCGTGTTTTCGCCGAATATTTCAGCTATCTTTGTAACAGTTACGTAATTTCTCTCATGTGAATGATCTCAGTACGATGGCCGAGAATGAAGTGAATGAGACTTGACTGTTTTATATGCGTGCTAGCGGGCCGATGTATGAATAGGGTAGGTATGCAACACATTGTGCAATATTAATGAAAAAAAAAAAAAGAATTGTTCTCCCGGTCTGTAGCTTCTTCGCGCGAGAGGAAACCAAATCCGGAGACTGTTATTTTCCCGTGACATTTGAAACCGACGCAATTGTAAACAAAATATTTTTAATTTGTTGGAATTATAATAGATGCGATGTAGAAAAAACTATAACTTTGACTTTTGTGTAATTCACTTTTTCTTATATTTTTTGTCGATTTGTCATATTTTTATTTTATTTTATTTTTTTAATGTATTTGTGGTCTCTCTTGTGCTGGTTTTGTTCTCGCTTGTTTTATGACGAAAAGAGTCGTTTTTCTATTAACTATTATCAACACACGTGGTATTTTGCGTTATCACATGAAACTGTAATTAAGTCGATGTGAAATTGCAGGAATTTTTTCTGAAGTATAACAATGTGGTATGAGGAGATAATGAATACTAATGACAACAATGGAAATATCTGCTATAGATTGTGGTAAGGAAAAGCCTTATCAGCAAAGAGACATGTCAGCATCTTCGCAATATCTTTTTGGCCATCTTCCTCCCGATATCATGCCAAAGGGACTTTCAATAAATGGTATTTTGTCACATTTTATGAAACATCACACCAGTAAATGTAACAATTATGCATAATATGAACCGTGTTACAGGCATAGAAGAAAGATTATGTCAATTAGAAGGTTTATTTATTGGCAGTCCTGCTCAAGGCGGACGGATAGGTCATACCATCTCGATAGAAACACTCATTGATATTTTGCTGGTGTTATATGATGAATGCTGCAATTCGTCATTACGCCGAGAAAAGACTGTTTCTGATTTTATTGAGTTTGGTAAGTTTGCTTGGTTTGAAAGAAGAAAAAAAAGAATTGTGTGGTTTATTAATCTCTTCGGTACAAGTGACGTCAACAGCCGCTGAATGCGTTTCGGTCTCGACTGTTTTTGTTCTCTTTAGTCATTTTGGACACTTCAGTAGTCTGTTCAGTACTCTTGTTCAATGTCTCGGTTTAAATAATTAGATCTCACTCAGTGTACGAAGAAATAATAATCGCGCAGCTGTTAAAGTGACATTACGTGGCGGACGAGCGACGTACTGAAGAAGTTAATATCGTATCATCGTACTACCACATCGTATTATACATGGTATCTCGTATTCTTTGTAGTAAAACCAATAGCTTCATGCATAAAGAGCTTGCAATTGACGCGAGAGGACTTTGAGATTATCAAGGTCATTGGCAGAGGTGCTTTCGGTGAGGTATGTGTCGTGAGAATGCGTTGTTCGGACAAGGTGTTTGCGATGAAAATCCTGAACAAATGGGAAATGCTGAAGCGTGCCGAAACCGCATGCTTTAGAGAAGAAAGGGATGTATTAGTATATGGTGATCGCAGATGGATCACGAACCTGCATTATGCCTTTCAAGATGACAATAACTTGGTAATTTATATTGTTTTGTTTGACAAAAATTGCGAAAGTAAAATTGATAATATAATCTGATAATCGTGCGTCTACACCTTCACGTCTTGATGCAGTATTTGGTCATGGATTACTATTGCGGCGGAGATTTATTGACGTTGTTGAGCAAGTTCGAAGATCGCCTCCCGGAAGATATGGCTCGATTTTACATAGCAGAGATGGTGCTAGCTATAGGTTCTATACATGATTTGCGCTATGTACATCGGGACATAAAGCCTGACAATGTTCTGTTGGATGCGAATGGTCACATCAGATTGGCCGACTTCGGTTCTTGCTTGCGACTATTCGAGGATGGAACGGTACAAAGCAACGTCGCGGTCGGCACTCCGGATTATATTTCACCGGAAATATTGAGGGTAATCTTCAACTCCAAAAATTAGTTAAACAGTACATAAATTGTACACAAGTTTCTAGTCTGTTGTTTCATATAATATGTTTTACCAGGCGATGGAAGATGGTCAAGGACAGTACGGTCCCGAGTGCGATTGGTGGTCTCTCGGAGTGTGTATGTACGAAATGCTCTACGGCGAAACACCTTTTTACGCAGAATCTCTAGTCGAAACTTATGGAAAGATTATGAATCATAAGGTAATAACCAGAATTCTTCTAGATTAGATAGATTTTTTCTTTTGTCTAAAAGAGAAAACGCGTTATCGCAAATGCTTTCTTATCAAAATGCGTTATAATATTTATGTACAGAATTGTTTTGATTTTCCTACGGATGTTATGTACGACGTTTCTGAAGAAGCCAAAGATTTGATGCGAAAGTTGATTTGTAGCTCGGAGTTTAGACTAGGCCAGAACGGAATTGACGATTTCAAGGTAGGTCACACACAATCGTTTGCGTTATCGAAAACAACGTCTCGACATCCTGTCAACCAACACGAACACGAAAAATTTTGTAAACACACAGTCATCGCACATATTTTTGTATCTGAAAACACAGAAGCATCCGTGGTTTGACGGAGTCGATTGGGATACACTCAGAGATAGCACTGCACCATACATTCCTGAAGTTTCATCACCTAGCGATACGTCAAACTTCGACGTTGACGATACCGATGTTCGTACTTCTGATGCCGTACCGCCAGCAGCAAATTCTGCCTTTTCTGCGTTGCATCTGCCATTTATTGGTTTTAGTTTTACTCAGGGGAGGTAGGAGGCTATATTTTTGTTGATTTCTTTTTCCACTTACTTAAGGAGCAGTTTTCTTGTTATCTTCAATATTTATTACATGACGTTAGATGGTTTGTCACTTGCTCAGTACTTAACGATAAAGTACAAAAAAGAGACAAGAGACAGTGAGATAACACAATAGCGTATCGCGCACATTGTGATCTCTATTAATTTGATATTGTAGTTGCATCTCGGACCTGGGTTGCATTTCCGCCGTGTCTCAGACAGACAAACGAGTAAAATTACTCGAGGAAGAAAACGCACGATTGTTGCGAACTATCGACGACATGAAGAATCGTTCGGACATAGGTCATTCTTCGCCTGGTATCTCACCCGAGTCTAACAATGCGACCAGAAAACTTCAGGACGAAATTAATACTCTTACAAAACGCAACTGCGGTAAAATTTACACATCTGTGATCTCTATAATAATTTCTTAATCTTTTGGACACTCATTGGACAATGTTGTAAGATTTTGTCTTGTTCTATATACAGAACTGGAATCGCAATTGAAATCGATGGACGTTCCACGCGAATTGCGATCTTTGGATAACGGCGACATGACAAAGTTTCGGGAATTGGAAAAGTTAGTTCGTTGCCTGCGTTTGGAAAAGGAAGAGGCAATTAAGGACAAGCTGGACGCGCAAGAGAAATTGAAGCTTCAGGACAAGGAGTTGAAAGACGCTCTGACACAACGTAAACTCGCGATGGCGGAATATACAGAAGTGTCGGATAAACTATCAGAATTGAGGCAACAAAAACAAAAATTGTCAAGACAAGTTCGAGATAAGGAAGAGGAATTGGAAGTCGCGATGCAGAAGGTCGATACTTTGCGTCACGATATTCGCAAGGCCGAGAAACTGCGTCGGGAGTTGGAAAATAGAATCGACGAGGCAATGGCAGAAACCAGCAAGGAGAGAAAATTGCGTGAACGCAGCGAAGAGTATTGCAAGCAGATGCAAGAGGAGACGGAGAAGATCAGGCAACGATCTATCGGAAACGACACCAGCGCAAATCACGCGTTAGCGACACAGGAGATAAACAGGTTAAAAGCGGAGGTTGAAAAACTCGAAGTTCAATACAACGAAAATCTTACTCAGCAACAGAGCAGATTCAATCTCGAGCTTCGAAGTCTGCAAGAACAATTGCACGAGGCCGATGGCAGGAAGGAGTTGTTGGAGAGAGAAGTGCAACTCACGAAAGAGAAATTGGATGCCGCGAGACTGGAAAATCTCACCGATAGCGAGGAAACTATAAGTGAATTAAACAGACGTCACGAAAGAGAAAAAATCATGTTGGTCGAGGAAAATAAGAAGCTTGTGTTGGAGCTCGGCGTTCTTAGCGACAGCGTTAACAGATTGCAAGGTGAGAGAAGACAACTGGAAGACGAGTACGAAGAATTAAGGAACAAAAAGGAAGCTATCGCCCAGTGGGAAGCTCAGATTACTGAAATTATTCAATGGGTGTCGGACGAAAAAGACGCTCGCGGATACTTGCAGGTTTGTGTTTAACATCTTACTTTTGTTTTAAATAAGATATTCGGGCAGATGCGAGTAAAAACACAGAACACAGTTTTTTTTCAAAAAAAAAAACGAGAGACATTGCATTTTTTTTACACAAATGAATTTATATTTCAGGCTCTGGCTACGAAAATGACAGAGGAATTAGAATTCTTGAAACACTCCGGTGGAGTGAGCACTGTCGGAAGCGGCACCACTATGGCGGATAAAAACTGGCGAAATCGTCGATCTCAGAAACTTGATAAAATGGAGCTTCTGAACCTGCAAAGTTCCTTGCAAAGTGAGATACAGGCGAAGCAAGCGATTTCAGAAGAACTCACGAAGACTCGTTCGGATTTGATAGCCGCACAAAAGTACGTCTTTCATACATTAACAAAAAAACAAAGTGACAATAATACAAAACAATAAAATTTTCATTTTGTTTATTTATTTTTCTTTCTCTCTTTGCCAGGGAATTGAGAGATTTCAAGCAACGATTGGACGCCATGTCTCACGAATTGAAGCGAAAAGATTTGCAAGTAAAAGAATTGCAAGCGCGTCTTGATACTGGCGATGGCTGTAAGTACATTTCAATTGATAATGTGGAAAGCAAGAAATGCACAAAAGTTCATTCACTATATCGTTATGGAAATATTGCATCTACACTTATTATGCAAATTGCAGCTATACATGTTATGTACGTACTTTGTAGATGTGTTAATCTCTATTCAAGCATTGAACGTGTTTTAAATTCTAATTTTTTTTCATGAAAATTTTATTCTTCTCGCACACACACATATGTATATATATATTATATATATATACGTATAATATGTATATATATGTGTATGTATGTACATATATGAACACATTTTATTTAGGTCTGATCCTAATTTTTGATATTGAAATATTTCTGTACAAATACATTTGCTACAATTATATTCGCGCGGTGATGGCTTTTGCATGCTTATCTCTTCGAACGTTACTGTAGTCTCGTGGGAATATTATATAATTGATAAAATATTGTTTTGTCTATGTACACAATTTTGATCATTTGCCGAATACGCTCGAGTTGTAATACAAGTTGGTTATATTGTTTACTGCGAATAAAATGAAAGTAATTTTCGCTGAATGTTTGCGCTCCAGGAAAGAATATTGAAATATGTTGTGTATACGAAAGATAAAAACCAATGATGTAGGATAACCACCTTTCTTGATTTATGTTATTTATTTTAGCGCTAAAATATAGAAAGAAACAAAATACAGTGGTATACTTTTTACAGCCGATGAGATATTTGCATTACAAAAATATCTCGATACCGTATAAAGACAAACGTAACATCAATAACTTCTTCCCTTAACTAATTTTACTTTTACTTTATTTTTTGTTGTATAGTTTACATCTCAGAGAGATAAAAATAAGTATACAGTTCTTTTTATCTAAAATTTTATGGATAATGCGTGTGCGTCACGCCAATTTTATTTACATAGTCCACACACACACACACACACACAGAGTTGACATATAATTTGTTGACATACAATATGTGTCTGATAAAAATGTTTTCACGCTTTATCTTGTTTATCGGATTTTGTAGGTTTCGTTTAATTTCGAACGCGAGATTTAAAAAATTTGTGCCATTTTTTCGAGAATAAAGTTACGTGTAACATTAAGTGATGGAAAAAAAACGTTGTTATTGAGAAAATAGTGACATGTATACATGTCTCTTTTGTGTGCATAAAGATGCGAAGTAGAATTGACAATACAGCGTTTGAAATTGTTGCTGTATTTTGCAATCGAAATTTATCATTTTTATTTTTGTTTATCCGTTGCGCGAAGAAAATCTGTAATTTTAGACATACCGTTAAAATTTGGATCATACATCTACGTACACGAAGTACAACTTGACCGTTACTACTGGGATCTGTGTAGCGTAATAATTCGATTCTCCAGTACGGTATGCGATTCTGATTTCTAGACTACAAAGTGCCTCTGTTTATTGGCGTAACGAGCTGCGTGTGGGGCCTCTTGTTGCTCATCTTCAAACTATATTTGTGACAGCTGTCTCATCCAACAACACATCAAGCAAATCTCCAAACATCGTTAGCACCAAACCCCAACGTATCATCGTACATCAGCCGTCGTCACCCCTACCAGTAATGCGTGCCCCTTGCATCACGACTTGTCGCTTATTAACTAGATTCGTTCCAGTCAACACAGTCATCAGTCAGAATGCCGTCGCCATCGTATCGCCGCCCGGTAAATGATGTGGCAGCAAAACAGCGACTTTGGATTGGTTGGCCGACTGTATTGCTAATCACACAACACAGTGCTGTGTTCTACTTCTTCTTGTGCTAATACTTTCTCTTTTGAAAAAAAAAAAAAAGCAAACAAATCTCCGTCCACATCATTTACAACAAATCTATTTGTTTTTTATCGTATGTTTTCAAATGATGTCATTCTTAATTTTAAAAACATATCACTGTGTTATATTTAATATCTCTTTTTAATATGGAGATAATTGATGTGTTGTTTGTAGGTCCAATTATATTATTTTTTGTTCCAATTTTTATGTGGTGGTGGGTTGTGAATTGTTATTTTTTAAATGACACAACAAAATTTTTATAATCTTTATTTGGTCAGAGAGTTGAGATTATTGTAATTAAATAATTAACAGATACATGCGTGAATCGTTTTGCTTTCTACAATAGTTGAAACTTGCAATATTTTCAACCGCTACTTTTTCACTTGCAATGTCATCCTCTATCCTATAGTAAGTAGTTTGTATTTGCCATAACAGAGCATGTTTAATGTACCTTTTTTTTTTTTGGTGACGCTATTTGAGAATTTCTGACGGATTTAAGAAAAATACACGATTAGGTTGTAGTAAAATTGCTGTCTATCTTTTATAAGTAATCGAAAAAGAAGCATGTATATTTTTTACAAATGTTGTGCTAAAACGTTTATCATGTGTTTTCAGGTAAGACGCGAAATTATTAATAATTAGGACAACAGTGTTTCTCACTTTTGCAAAATACTATACAATATTAATATTTTATACATATTTTTAAATATATATTTTTAGATATATATTTTTAAATATTTATAAACGTTTTATACGCGTTGCTTTTATTATTCATCGAATGATCTATATTTATTTGCTTTTATTTTCTATTAGTTTTAGAACGTCCCACATCGCAGATGTCATATCTTGAACACTTTCTTAAAGAAACCACAAGCAATACGCGTCATGGAAGTGTCGACAGTGTAGAAGGTGACATCGAGGACAATCGTGCACCTAGCATTACGAGCAGCAAAAGTAATTTGTCTGAACTAAGTATCGTAAGTATCTTTCACCGTGTGCAAATGTATTTAAAGATTTCAAACCAGTCACCTAGACTGGCCAGAGCTTCTCATGCTTCGAGAAAACCGATTCTATAGATGAATCGTTGTGATTGATGACTAAATATATAAAAAACAACTTAATATCGATATATTTTTTACATGTACAACAGAAGTAAAAATTATACAAAAGTACCCGCCATAATTTGACAAATAATTAAAGATTGTTTTTTTCTCAGGATCCAACGTCGCCGTTATCTCACGAACTTCTGAACAAGTCTTCATCTACTCACGGTCAAACCAATTTACAACCAAAGCCTAAGTCACATCAATTTCTCGTACGGACATTCTCAGCGCCTACAAAGTGTAATCATTGTACATCTTTAATGGTAGGATTAACGAGGCAGGGAGTTGTGTGCGAAGTGTGCGGTTTCGCGTGTCATATGCCTTGTTGCGACAAAGTACCTCCAATGTGTCCTGTGCCTCATGATCAAAGTAAGTAAGGCATTATGCTCGCGCAAATATTTAATTAAATTGTATTTATTTATTTCTTTTTTACATAAAAGATGCAAGTTGATGCGCTGACGGTTTTAGATATATAACATAACGTGTGACATATTGTTTCAGCTAAACGACCCTTAGGAATCGATCCTACACGTGGGATAGGTACCGCGTACGAAGGATACGTCAAAGTACCAAAAATGGGTGGTGTCAAAAAGGGTTGGGTGCGTCAATTCGTCGTAGTTTGCGACTTCAAATTATTTCTCTACGACATCTCGCCAGATCGCAATGCTTTGCCGTCTGTATACGTTTCGCAAGTTTTGGACATGCGAGACGAGGAATTCGCTGTTAGCTCTGTTCGTGATTCTGACGTAATACATGCTACAAAAAAAGACATTCCATGTATATTTAGGGTAATATTTTATGATATTCTAATTGTTAGTTGAAGTATATTATTATTTTGGGCTCATGTGTAATTAATCTTTTATATTTTGATTCAGATAACAACGTCGCTATTGGAGCCTCCTGGATTGAGAAATCACACGTTAATGTTGGCAGATACGGAGAGTGAGAAAACAAAATGGGTGGTGGCTCTTAGCGAGCTTCATAGGATTTTAAAAAGAAACAATCTTCCAAATACAACGGTATGAGTATATTTAAGATAATTTAAGTTACTACTTGATACTTTTTATTTTTATAACATGGAAGAAATCCATCATGCACACCTTACCTCCGGATTTTAGTTAACGTACATATAATAATATCGTTGATAGAATTTTTTTTTCTCTTTTCTACTGCAGATTTTTAGAGCGAAAGAATTATTGGATAATACTCTGGGATTCATAAAGAACGTCATGTCAGGAACGATTATCGATCCAGATCGTCTAGTCATTGGCACAGAAGAGGGTCTCTTTTGCTTAGATTTAGATCGTAGCGGCAAGTATCATCAAAGTTATTCGATTATAACAACATGTTACGTTATGGTTTTGTTGTAAAGAATTATTTCTTAACTAATGAAGCGTTTTTTTTTATTTATTTGAGAATAATTTTACTTGTGAAAATAAGTTTTAAGTAAGAAGAATTGTATATTTGCCGCAATACGAATTATTGCGCGTATATTTGCAGAAATTGCAAGAGTTGGAGAAGGAAAAAAGATATATATTCTTGAATATGTTACTGAAGAGCAATTGATCGTGGTATTGAGTGGAAAGCAACGTCATGTACGGTTGGTTCCAGTACGTGCCTTGGATGGAGATGAAGTCGAGTGGATTAAAGTCGCAGAAACTAAAGGATGCATTACATTAACGACAGGAATAGTGCGCCGTAATTCCCTTAATTATTGTCTATGTGTTGCAATAAAGAAACAAGTAAGAATTATTTATAACATTGAGTTGCGCGACAATTCGATGCATATTGATGTTGTGTGTAACATCCGCACGTTGTTCTTACGTTGACAGAATGCGTCGCAAATCATTATCTACGAAATAACACGTACGAAAACACGACATAAACGTATACGTGAATTAATGTTACCGTGTCACGCACAAACTCTGCAAATTCTTTCCGAAGGTCGCTTGTGTGTTGGTTATCCGTCTGGTTTCTCTATTTATAGCATCGTAGGAGATCATCATCCTGTTTGTAAGTGAAGCACACGCGGGACACATCAGTCGTACTTTTTTTTTATTTCGTACATAGCTATATGTATGTTTATTGACACAATCTATTTCAGCTTTGGTCCATGCCGAGAACACGCTCCTAGGTTTTCTCACTTATAGCGCCGTAGATGCGTTACGTTGTATCGAGTTGCCACGAGGCGAGTTCTTATTAGTCTTCCATACATTAGCGATATACGTCGATAGTCAAGGAAGAAAGAGTCGAGACCGAGAAATTATGTATCCAGCAGTTCCTACAGCAGTTAGTAAGTACACTAACGATCGCCTTGATTGAGATGTCAATCATATTACACTTTTGACATTGCACACGTTAATATCTGAAGATGGTTTTCAGGCTTGAACTGCGTTAGTGTTAGTTTTTTATACGGACGTTTCAGTTCACTTTATTAGAACTTCAAGAGTAACCTGATATCAAGGTGATCTTGGCCAGATATTCTTTTCTTAGCGCTAAGTAAGAGCAGGCGAAGTGAACTGAAAATGTTCACGAAACGTAGGTGTATAAAAATAACACTAGCGCGGTTCAAACCATCTTCAGATGCAACACATCGCGGAAGCATCAAATATCAGATTGCATAAGTTCTTTTCTATGTTTGCTTAATTTGAATTTCAGGTTATTGCGAAGGATATCTATTGGTATATAGCGAGACTCATATTGACGTTTTTGACTGTACATCTGGAGATTGGTTACAAACACTTAATGTGAAACGAGCCCGGCCGTTGAATATTTCAGGTTCCCTCACGTCTTGTATAATAAACGATATGCCATACGTTATTTATCTCAGTAATTTACATCAACGTAAGTATACTCGTTGTGTTATAAAGATACATCATCGCAATGCATGATTTACTTTGTTATATTTGTGATAACAGCAAACTGTTATTAATGAGCAACATTTAACAACGTTTGTATATACTTCGTACTAGGAGAACTACTAAATTTGACATCTTCGGACGCGAGCGGTAGGCAAATAGCAAGGCCAAGACGAAGATTTTCTCTAAGAGAAGGCAACAGAGCCGCGCGTCCTACGGACAGACGATCGAAAATGATTTCCGCGCCCACAAATTTCAACCATATTAGCCATATGGGTCCGGGCAATGGAATACAAGTAAGTTCCAATTTAGAAATTTATAATATCTTTCGTTTGCACTTGGTTACAAATGCATGCGTCGGTTACATGCTTTATTGTCGTTGCAGATACAACGTTTGTTGGATTTACCCACGACATTAGAAACTGCTGATCAACAACATACGAGTCATCACAGTAGTAGTTCTCATCTTAGTCAACAAAAGGTACGTATTGTGTAATATGTTTAGCAGAGAAAATGTAACCAATTCTTTTTGTTTCAATGTAATGCGAATCATAAACACACATGTATTAATAAACTTTACTCGATTTGTTCTTTGTAGCTGTACGATTCCACGCTTCAAACTCCAAATAAGCCAGCACCGTTACCTCCTAGGCATCCTCCTTCCGATACACGTCGTTTGAGCTCGCATATGTCAAGAAATTCTGGATATTCGCCGCACAATGGTAAATCTTTATAGAATATTGCAAAACTGATGAAGAAGAACGAGAGAGAAGAGGAAAATTTGGGCTAAATGTATATCATGTATCAGGTTCAACGACATCACGAAGAGGTCCTGCACCACCACGACCGACTGCTACACCGCCTTCCTTACCGCGTACTCCGGTGGATCAAATGGATTCTGAATCGGTCCATTTGCGTTCACATACTCCACTCTCTCTCGGCAGTATCGCATCTTTGCATAACAAGGCAAGTAGAAATTATCTTTGTCACGTTAATCGATTGTTCCTTTCTTTAAGCTGATATTGATGCCAAATTAATATACTGATTTTTAAGTCAGATTTTAAATGTTTTGCAAACACATCCATCATTCACAGGAACATCCATCTGGTGGCAGTCCGCGACACTCCATAGCTTCGAACAACAGCTCAAATCCATCGACACCACCGAGCCCAGCCCATGATCATGGATCATCATCGTACGATTCGTAAATTTAACATTTATGGGAAACTTAGATAAAACGGTACGTACCCAGTGCATATAGTTGAGAAACGTTGATCAATTATAAAATATCCGTACATATTTATATGCGCACGTACGCGTTCCTATAATATATGTATATATGTTAAGCTCTCTCTCACACGTATTTTTACACATTTTTACGACGATGTATTCGTTCTTTATCTGCTTTCCTCGTTGTTAGGAACGCGTACTGACGATCATGACATTGAACTGTATTACTACCACTTGGACGTATTGTCGATCTGTGAAACTCGGTTATTCGATAACTCGAAAATGTCTTTTTTTGTTTTTTTTTTAATTCTTTTTTTAGGTTCGCGAGAGACTAACATATAGTCATGTATTTGTGATGTACTTTGCGGAAACACGGTAATCGTGTGTTTTTGATCTTAGAATTGAAACGTTATCTTTCGCGATATTATTATCTTAACCGCGTCGTGCAATATAATTACGCATACTTAATACTACACATATATAAGTATATAAAGAAAAAATATAATTATCATAATCATGTGCTTGAGTAATACACTGGTGTGTGCGATTGTTTATATATATATATATATATGTATGCATATATGTGTGTATATATATATAAACATATATAAAATGCAAAAAGTTTTCTTTTTTGTCAAAGTTTTGACCAGTGCATTATCATTACAAGATTTTCTGACGTTCAAATATCATTTTATATAACACATTTAAAGTTAAAAGAAAAATTTAATTAGTAAAATCTTAAATTATTGTGTTGTAAATATTTTTCTTTTTACACATTTAACAAATGTATTACGTCCTTTACGCGATGCCATATTTATTCTCTTTTTCGAGTTAGTGTTGTCAGTCTTTTTTTGTTTTTATTTCAATAAATGATATGATTTTTGCATAAAAAAAAAATTGGAATCTCAGTCAAATATTAACTAGCAATAACAAATTTTAACTATTTGATGTACTGTATGTAATCTCGACTTTTAAGTAAAAGTAGCTGTGAAAAAACTATGAATATACTTAAGAGGGTCCTGGAGCGTACTATATATATCGTGACTACTGTTATATACCCAAGTGACATCATAGAACGTCATTAGAGAAACAAGGACGTACATATGTAAAAAGAGGTTTATATTAAAATTAAACGTATTCTAGATTGTTTGTGTATTGTAGGAGGGAACTTCCAAATTATAGTCTAATAGAGTCTTATTACATTCTTCAATGTTATGTCTATCTCGGATACACTTTTTGGTTTTTTTTATGAATAACTCTTGAACTTCAAATATCGGTACACCAAAAGTAGAGGTGATTGTTAACTTCAACAATTTTTGTTAAGTTTTCGATATATTGAAAAATATTCGAGATTAATTTCATTATTTTCTCTTATTCTGCAGAGCCGTTTTTCTATCCGAGCAATAAATGCAATCTAAAATACGAATTTCTCGTTTGATCGGTATAATAGGAAGGTCCAGGACCCTCTGAATAGTACACTTGGGGATCGTTCGGAGTCGTACGCGGGAACTCCCTTATTGGAAAAGGGAGAATTACGGTTTCTGTACTTACTTCATTTTTTAAAACAATATAAGTGTAATTGATTAAAAAAATATTTCGAAATAAAACACAAAATATATCTCTTTTGGTTTCCTCAGAAGTCACTTTTTAGCAGCCGTCAAACTGGCTGCAAGCGCAATTACTCACTGAGCACTCGGTAAACATTCTAGATCCGTTTGTTGGATGCGAAAACGTTTCCTAAACTGTGAGCGATCGCCAATTTTGCAAGCGTAGTTTTGTATCACACTCCTGTCCTTTCTTTCTCCGATAGAGGAATCTCTCTGTACGACTCTGGCTAATTCTTAACCGTTGTATCCGGAATAGTCGCATTATTTGTTTTAATGATTTGTTTACTTAATTCCAGTTAGTAGAATACTTACAATACATACAAAATTAGACAATGGTTTTCTGTTATGTAGCACGTACTCTGTACATTGCGTATTAAAAGCTTTTTCTGCCTCCTCGACGGACCGCCCCGAACGCCGTCTTCCCTTGTAAACAAATAACGATAATAATAATATCAGCGCGCTTGTCGTCCCTGGTAAAATGACTTTGTTGTTTTGGAATAGATAACAATTACGGTCGACTATTTCCGGCTCAACAACGATTTTAACAAATTAGATGGAGCGCGAATCAATTCGATGCCTTATGACTAAGTGTTTTCTATCGCGTCATAAAGCACTGATGTATGTACATGGATATTATCCATCGTGTGAATAGAATGATCGTGTAATAGTAATTAATATGTTGCGAGCTCCTGCTGATAATAAATAGTCATTAAGAAAAACAAACTCACACACATTGCACTCGGACTTTTGTATTGTGCGCGACCTAAAGTCGCCCGTCGATTTACGACGCGTTAGAGACACATCATGCGCGTGTGTGACCGAATGTGTGACCCCAACTGAAAACAGAATGAAAAAGCACTGTTTCGTTTTTTGGTTTGTTTTTTTTCCGATGACAATCGTGTTTAGTTTACAATCGGAGACGTGATTAGAAATTTATACATACGTATACTGACAGAACTTTAGTGCGGATTATTTATATTTTGTTGTTGTTGTTGTTGATAGCACCGATGTAAAGAAAAAGAACATGTATCACATCTTGCTCCTGACAGGTTTTTTTTCTTTTTTAAACATATATAAGACTATATATAAGAGAGTACACGCTTGATAATATACGTACGTGTTTAAGTTCGATGATGTCAAAATTTAAAAAGACGATATAAAAGGAGAAACCATATTGTATATATATATATACATATATATACGTATACATATTCAAACGTCTTCACCGAATTGTTGTTCTTTTTTTAAAGTAATACGTATGAATTAGATTTGACACGTGACGCGTATGAGTACAACTACTTTTTGTTATTTTTATATGATGATCGGATAAAGTGGCAGTATGCGAGATGAAAGACCAAATGAGATTAGAATCTATTTTAAACGGCGAAATATATTTCGTATAAACAGAGTGTCTTAATTTATTAGAAAAATTTTTAACGGTCACGGGTGCCTTTCACGGATGAATTTCTCATATACGTGATGCAAGTTTAGCATCCTGAATATGAATTTAGAAATTTAAATTTCATTTCAAGTTCACGTGTAAAAATTTACACGTGAAGTATGAAATATATAATATGTATGTATGTATGTGTATATATATTTATTACGTAACAAACATCCAGCGCAAGGCTCCCGTGACTTATGTTTAAAATTTCGCGTAGAGTTTGTAACTAAAAAAGAGCCTAAAAAACTCATTATTATTAATGTCTTAATTTAATCGTTATTTCAAGTTTCTTCAAATTATAAGATACTGCTGTTTTTTCTCGATAAGTCTAGCTACGTGACCAGATTATCGGCTTGTTCTTTTTTTACTGATCTTATTTTATCAGCTCAGAGTTTATTTTTTTTTTTGTCGTTTTAAATAGAAGGAAACGAGATACACTTTGAACCAATGCAACCGGTTCGGGGAAAAAGAACAAACCGTATATTTCTATATGAAACAAAATAATGTCTAACTAAAAAACAAGTTAAGTAACACGTAAAATCGACGATTTTTCTTATGATGCCACTTGTCACGTGTATCTAAATATAAATAACACTCGTAGATTATTTATTTTTCGAGGTGTATTCTCCAGTTAATACTGTTTTACATATATAACGAGAATGTTTTAAAATTAATTACTAACTTCATCTTCAGCATACAATTGTAATAACCAATGCATTTGCAGCATGCGATGCATTTGATTTCGTTTCTATCTGGTTTTTTACATTAATATTTTTTACTTTTTTATACACCGATTGATTTATTTCACTTTGTTTTTGAATTTTTTTTTTTTTTGCGCGCGTATGTGTGTTTGTATGCGTGTGACGTGTACTTTCGTAGTTAATCAGTAACTTATATGCGATTATACTGTGCCGCGTGTAATTCTTTTTACAATTTATATTTATTCTTAGGTATATAAGAATTCAAGAAATTTAAATTATTGAAATCTACGTTATTCGATGTGCTCTCTGAATAAAGTTTTAACGCGATTCTTTCCACGTATTTCGACGATATGTAAGACGATATGTGCAATCATGTACGTACGCGAGTAGACCCGAAAACAGCCTACAGAAATCTCGTGAGTCTTTTACATATGATAGAAGAAAACTGCTTCGAAACTTTGATATGCCAGTAACGTTGAAGTTTAGTACAATAATATTCAACGATCAAAAAAATTCGAACAAACTGCTGATCATTGTTTGATCTTGTATTCATTTGTTATACGCATTATTTTCGAATTTTGGATCTTATGAGAAATTTGCAAAAGTTTTTTTTTTTTATTCAAAGTGGAAAAGTTGGGAACGCGATGAGTGAAACGCGTCGAATGTGAAATCATTGCTCAGCACTCAAAATAAAAAAAAAAACGTTTGATCGTATTTCAAACCCCTCTCTAATACTTGTTTTGCCGCAAGTATATATATTATAAATAATAACTAAATATCATTAAAGGCTGTATATGAACTGATTAGCCTAATTCCGAATGGACAACAGAGATGTCAATATCTAGAAAACGTTAACAATATCGTCATAAAAAAATTATATACCATATATATATATATACATATATATATATATAAAATATGTACTGTTATCCGTGCTAAAGTAAAAATGGACGAAAAAGTGAGCTACAATCACAATTGCGAAACGAAAAAAAAGATCTATGATATGAAACGAACGTGTGTGTCGCTGTACTTACAGTTAGATAATTAAATAATCCGCCTAAAATATCTTTCTTCCGTTAATAGTATATTGTTACTTAAGAATTGAAAAAAAACAAAAAAACAAAAAAAAGAGATATATCGACTGTTCATCAAGCTCTTTGCCATTAACGTCATTTTGTCAAGTTTGGCGATCGATCGATGTATTCCACACGCGAAGGAATAATCATTCCTGTATATAGCATTGCTTTTTCACGTCTTTGTAAATAACTCAATTTTTCTACTTATATCACATTTTTATTTAAGCTTTATATATATATCCGGTGATCATCTCCCGTGAATTTTAATTTCCTTCAAGCCTCTTCTTTATTTATATCTGAAATATATATAATCATCACACGGGGCTACTATATAAACACACACCACCATTATCCGATCGTTTTATATGTAAAAAAAAAAAAAAGAAAAAAGAAAAATTGATGATACGTATCATTTATATATACATATATATGTACGTATATACACGCATATATGTTTTTATCGAAATGTACGGCATTCTGCGCGACAATAGATTATATATTGTGTATACAAATTGTATGAATGACTAGCGTTTTTTACATAAATAGATAGTTATTGTTTTAACTCTATATAACCCAGCGTAAACTTGTAAAGCACGTGTAAGAAGTTTTTCCTTTTTTGATACGTAACGAAAGCGATTTTTTACTATTGTGTATGTAGAAAAAAACACTAGAAAATGTTCTCTACTCACATATGACGTGAGCACACGTAGATAGAATTGCTAAACTAAACTAAAAAAAAAAACTAAAAGAGAGATAATTTTGTTCACAAAATTTTCAGAAGTTATGCCCAATTTCTTCACCCCTAGATAAGTTCTCGTTAACGTTATCTAAAAGTTAAATTATATCTTTTTTGTATATCTTTATTCAGAGGATAGCTATCGGTAATCAGTTACTTACATCGATCATTCTTTTCGTTTATAGGACAAAAAAGATACAGGCTGAAATCTCCACTAAGATTTGGGTTATACAGAGTTGAAGACACAGTGTTTTAAGTATTATCTATTGTTAGTCTTTTCTTTATATTTATACATATATATACATATATACATATATATATATATGTGTGTACACACACAAAATATACATATATGTATATGACATCTCACAAACACAAATAGAATAGCGTTTTTCTGTCGCTCTTTCTTTATTATTTATAACAGATATATGCGTTGTTTCGCAATATTTATTAAATTCATAGACCAGATTATTACTTGCTTTGAATGAAAATTGTATTTTATTGTAAAATATCGTACGCGTGCGAGTTATTATTAGCCGTAAGAGACCAAACTTTATGTATTTAATATCTTCCTTCTCCTCCAAACAACCATCTGTCTGTAGATTGTATAATATTTATATCGTTTGTTATATATATATATACATATATATATATATACATACACATCTCCTTTCTCGTGTGAACTTACCAGAAACAAGATAGCGAGACACACAAACAACACACACACACACACACATACACACAAATTGTGTGACATAATATTTTTTATTTTTATCTACTGAGAAACGCGTTAATTTTTCTGTGTAGAGAGAGAAAGTAAATTAATAAAAATGAAAGCCTATGTACTTTTTATATTTTTAAATATTTTACTGTAAAATGCTGCATGTTTTTTTTTATGTTCATTGTATTATTTAGTTTCTTTTATTACAGCGATGGGGATGAAAACTTTTCGGAAAGAAGTTTCATAATTTTTAATCAAAAAAGTCATTTAGTATTACGACGATAATGAAATTTAATTTCTGGTCCCTCGCTCAATAATAATATATGAAATAATAAGGTTTACTATAAAAGAATGAAAACAAAACAATAGTTTCTAAAAATAATTTAAAAATAGAAACAAATGTTTTTGTAGAGTAGAATTACAATTAAAAAAGAACAGTGACATTATCGACACGACGCAGTGATGGACAAACAATTGCTACAGTTAGTCGATACGACGCTCGTTGGCGCTGTTATCACTAGGGGAAACTGCTCCTTTTGCCCTTAGGCAAAGGAGCCCTTCTTGATTTGTCCCCCGCGCCAATTTGGCGAAGGTTTGACAGGCTGTGTTCAAATTTATTTCTTGAATTAGAATCAAGTTTTCACACTTTCTCGTTAGAAGGAAAAATTGACGCGACCGCTATCTTGGAAAATTGATTGTCTCTACTATTATTAACGTATCGGAAATTTTTATAAACGCTCAAATTCACTAAAATATCTACGTTCTCATACGTTAAAGTCTAGTGACTTTGATCACTTTTGTAATTTTCATTCATTTCCACGATATAAACGATTCGTTCTCAGAAGTGTGTGCATATCTATGTTCTTACATTTGTTTGTTTTATTATTTACGTTGTTTTTCTTTATCTTATCGTCGTACATGTGTGCGTGTATACTATTTCGGCTTACAACAAAGTGTTTCCGATGTCTGTTTTATGTCTGCTGACCGTTGCTGATACTGTACTGACTACATTTCCTATTTCGTAATGTGTTAATTGGAAACAATGACAAGAAAAAAGTTAATAAAAAATCATCCCAATATTATTTGTTACTACTGTTTAAATAATCTATAATAAATTCAATAAACTTTAAACATTTGGTTTGTGTTGATAAGGTTAAATATATACATAATATTTAATATGGAAAACAAAAATAGCAATAATTTTGTTAGTTATGTAGGACTAGAGGAACACGAGTTGCAGGTAAATTTGTAATCTAATGTAATTTTGTTCCTAATCTTTACACAATGCAAAATTTTTAAACTTTACTCAATTAAAATACATAACGAGATAAATTTAAATTGCTCTTTAACGATGAATTTTTATGTTTTAAGACTTTTAGTTCCAGTCGACGTAGTTCGTTAATTGAAAACAATATAAAACTATTACCTGGAGAAGTTTTTATTACTGAAGCACAAAGCGTTCTTATGTTTTCGCCGGTCAGCGATCTGAAACAAGGTATATCTGGAGTTCTGGCAGTCACTAATTTCAAACTCACATTTATTACCAATGATGATTCAAATGGAGAGGTAAAAATCATTCAATCTTTTATATTTGCTATATACAATTATTAAAAAACATATAAATATAATTGCATTAGGTATGGAACATTCTGCAGAATATTACCTAATTGCAGGATGTTACTTATCAACAAAATCACTTGTATGGATACACGGATACATGCTTGACAAATATTGATGAGATTTATATAATGTTAGGTGATAAAAAAAGAAAGCTAGTTCCTGGCGGTACAGTACCATCAAAAGTAAAAGGAATATTTATTATTTGCAAAGTAAGTTTCTTTTCAATCAATATATGTGTATGTATGTGTGTGTGTGTGTGTAAATTTCATAAGATAACTGATCACAAGTAAGAGAACTAGAGTAATGAACAATATTTTGATCACAAGAATAATAGTTATGGATAAAAATTACAGAACCTGAGAACGTGGTCTTTCTCTTTCAAATTTTCACCTCTTGGACATGGCAAAAATCTGTTGACTGCATTGTTACATCACGCTTTTCCTAGTAGGCACCAACTGTTGTTTGCCTATGACTACAAGTTAGTATATAAAAAAAAATTCAGAAGAAACTTTAATCAATTTCTGACATCTGTTTTCCTATTTTGCAGCGAGCCTTATTATAGTAGTCTTGACAAAAATGTTCAATTATTCAGAGATATTTCAGACTGGCAAAATGAATTGAGCAGAACAGTGTGTAATGATCAAATAAGGAAACGTTGGAGATTATCCACGGTTAATGCCAAATTTCAACTTTGTTCTAGGTAGCTTGTTTTTAATTTCTCTCTGTTTTCCTCACTTTTTTGTGATGAAAGTCATATAAATTTAAATCATATTTATCAAAAAGCATAAAGAATTTAAAAAAAAATGTATTTATTATTTATTTTATAGCTTATCGCAATATATAATTGTACCCTCGTCTGTGACTGACACTCAGCTAGTAGAAGCAGCCAAATATTTTCAAGGTAACAGACCGCCAGTCTGGTCTTGGACGTCCGTACATGGTGCAGCTTTAGTAAAAATGTCTGAATTGTTACCAACGATTACGGAAAGGATGCAGGAGAATATTATGTTTGAAAATGTTCGTAAAAGTCATCCCCAAAAGATACCTCCGGTCGTTATAGAACTGAATAAAGAAATTAATGTAAAATTGATAACAGCAAGTTATGCAAAATTCACCAACTTATGTCTGCCAGGTAAATTTATCTCTCTCTCTCTCGTGTTTTAAAGATTTTCTAAAACTTGGTTTTTTTAATTAAAAATTATATTTATGTATATTTCAGAAAATATCAGGCAATTCTGGATTCAAGATAACAATTTTTATTCATTATTAGAAAATACAAAATGGCTTAAATACGTATCATATTGCTTGCAAAAAGCATTAGAAGTTTGTGAACATCTTAATTTAGGAAGTTCTGTTATATTGCAAGGTACGATTTGGGTTTAAAATAATATTTAAGATATAAATATTTTATTTATCAAATAAAGATATAGGAAATATTTAAAAAAGATAAAATATAAAGTGATATTATAATGTCAAATAAAAACTACAACCCCGATAGAAAAATTTACGTAAAAAAACGCTGAAGAAAACTTATTCTTAATTATTATTTTTAGAAAGTGCCGGTAGAGATTTGTGCTGTGTTATATCGAGCTTAGCGCAACTGTTATTGGATCCTCACTTTCGTACTATCACTGGTTTTCAATCATTGTTGCAAAAAGAATGGGTTGCCGGAGGCCATCCGTTTTGTGACAGATTAGGCCATATTGTAAAAACTACTTCAGAAAAAGTACGCGAAATATATTAAGCTTACTTATTTTACAAAACACTCAAAATACAGTAGTACGCTGATCAATTTTGATTTCCACAGTCTCCTTTATTTCTTTTATACCTCGACTGCGTGTGGCAACTGTGTCAACAATATCCAACGGAATTCGAATTCACGGAAACATATCTGACTACATTATGGGACACGGCGCATGTTTCCATCTTCGAGACCTTCATTTTCAACTGCGAAAGAGATCGGGCAGTAGCAGCTATGGTAATAAATCTTTTACATACACACATAGCAATCTACGACAACATTTCACGTAGCACAATCAAGAGTCAAGTTGTACAAAGAAAATTATTTAAAATGTTTTTAGGATCCGAACACACCTCTTGTACTTCGTAGCGTCTGGGATTGGCGGGAGCAATTCAACGATCAAGACATCTTACTGTTTTACAATCCTCTGTTTGTCCCGTATAGTGTTGAGAAAAAAACGGAAAACAGAACAATTATAAAACCTCTATTCGCTATTTCTAATTTGGATCTTTGGACGCAGTGTTACTTCCGATGGATACCAGTGCTCGAGATTCGTAACGGCGGTCAAAGGCATATCGAACTTTACATTAGATTACTTCAAAATGACATAAATCAACTTAAAATGTGTGTAAACGACCATCGTGGTAGCTCGTTTGTAGATAAGGTCGGTGTTTACTCTCTTCCAACAAATATTGACAGCTTCTATCCGTTTAGTAACAAAAGATCGGGAAGCGCCATTAGCGCTCCAATCATGAATACTTCAATTCTTTTGACAGAAAGTTTGTTGGACGCACAGTCAGTGATAACCGCAACCGACTGATAAAGATATTTCTATTATGGTTCATTTTTTATAAGTGTACCTGATTACATATCTTCTGCCTTTTTTAGATAACAAAACTCGGTTTTGAAGGCAAACTAGAAGATATATGTATTATCTTGTACGCTTTCAATTAATATGCCGTATATGTAGCTGTGTATTTTAATATTTATTTTTGTTAAATTAATATTAACGCTGAACGAACGCAGAAACACACACACACACACACACACACACACACATTACATGTTCTTGAAATTTGATTTCGAAGAAAAGGTGGTGATTTTTCCGAAAACACATCACCCCTTACATTTTAACTTATTAGCAGTAGTCTCTATTATTGAAGTTAACTCTCTCAAGCTTTTCCATGTAGAACGAGAACTGTATTTATACGTAGACTGACAATTTTGTACATATTTATATGCTATTTTTATATAGAAACTTAAACGCAAATATAAATGTACAAACATGTTAACTAAAAATTGAAATATTCAATTAAAGAGAAATGATTTCAGGAAATTTTTCATACATAGCTCCCTCTGTGAATATAAGAACAAATATTACATTATTATATAATATGTATATGTGTAATATGTTATTATTTAAAAGTGCTGCTATATATTTATTAAAACACAATTCTCATAAACTGAGTAATCCAGTCCAATTTTATACATGTATAATGTAATATACATATACATATAGTTCGAACTTTATATGAAAGTTATGTAAAATATTATGTTATTTGTATTACAAAACAATAGGAATAAATGTAGAAATACATTACGTAATATTGTGTGCTTGTGTATATTTCACGGTTTCTTACAAAAATACGTACGCCGAGTTCAAAGAGAATTATCTTTCTGCGCGTAGAGAAAGTAAAAGCGGAATTAAAGGCGGGATACTCGCTGACAGCGTGTGATTTGCCGAGCAAATCGAGAGGATATTCAACTTTATTGGAAAACATCTCTCGTTTTCTTAAAAAAATTCTTCACTTATTACTTTCTCTTTGTCTTACTTTAAAATATATATATATGTATAAAATAATATCTTCAGAACAAATAATTTGTCATTCTCTATCATTTTTTTATAGATATTCTTTCCCTCGTATTCCCGTAGACATTCCCGACAAATCTGTATCGATGTCGTTTTATTTCGAGGCGAATTACGGATTGCCAAGCGAATGGAATTCCACTTACTACTATTACGACGGAAGTTATTTCGAAAACCGAAGTCTCAATCGTCAACTGATATATAGCTTGTTCACAAACAAACTGGAAAGATAACAAAACTGTGATTAAAACCACATCCACGCAGATATATTCTCTACCAACACGTATGTATTTCGAAACCTCACTTCTAATTACACGTGTGATTGTTAAGCTCAAAATATACGCTCGTAAATAATGACATTGGTCTGTTTTACAACAGTCTGGGCTATCCTGGACAAGATTGTTTATTGAAAGTAATTTGTCAAGCTGCAAAATATGCTTTAAGCGAAACGGTGTGCTTGATGATATTCTCAAATTCATATTCACGTAAGTATTGTAATAAAAAGTATATTTGAAAGTTTTGATGTAAAGAGAAATAAAGAGAGATGTCGATATAAATTACAATCAACGAACAAATAATGTAAAACAATTAAATTTGCATTGCAGACATTCCACGTTGAGAAGCGAGGAGCTTCCGAATGAGATCACGCAAGCTGAGCACGAGCAACTTTGCGATCAACGTTACGAAAACTGTTCTCTGAATCCTTTAGATTTAATAAGTCATTACGTCGATTATTAAAAATCTACACAAAATTCGACACAATTAATGTCGTTTTAATGTAAATTTATTCGATAAGTATTGAAAATAAAAGACTTGCATAATATTTTGTCTGTTATTTATAGTTTTTTATTTATTTATTTCTTTATTTCTTTATTTCTTTATTTCTTTATTTTTTTATTTATTTATTACCTGCCTTTCTCTCTTTATTTTATTTTACACGCTAATAAATAATCAAGCGAACAAGAGCACAAGATTTACGCGCAATAGTCTTGGTCGGTGGAAACTATGGGACGCAGAAAACGAGCTGAAATCGAGCGAAGGTATCAGGGAAGTATGTCTTGCGAGTAGGTATACGCGCCAGCTCCTGGGCGTGTATATAGCGCGCTTGACCCCACCCCGCGCGCGGCAGCCATTACGGAGCACGCGCGTCGGCCATTATGGAGCGCTCGCGCCTCAGCCAATCACCGCGCGACTCACGGCGCGTAGGAGGTGCCGGGGGGACGCGTAGCCTCAGCCAATCACCGCGCGACTCACGGCGCGTAGGAGGCGATGGGGGGACGCGTAGCCTCGCCCACTGATACCTCTCGCGTTACCTCTTCGCACAACATGTATTCCTAATACTTTCCTGATATTTTCGAGGCTCTCGGAGGAGCGCAACTCACCTTATTCGCTCAATTCTCTTGCTATTTCTCTCTCTCTTGCTTAATTCTTTTACATTCTTTCAATAATTTGTCAATCTTTAAACAATAATTTGTAAATTTATTATAAATATACGTATGTATATAAAACATACTATTTATTATTAAGGATTAATAGATGTATGTATATACAACGTACATGTAAAAATAAACAGTTATGATGATAATGTAAGTAATCAATTTTGATGCATATAAATTTATAATTTATATATGCGTAATTATATGTATATGCGATATGACTTATAAATTATACATGCGTAACAATAAAACGTATAAGTAATTGTCATATTTTGTATATTGAGAAACAATAGAAAAAGGAACAATAAATTAGATTGAGTTTGCAATGTGTTTTCCAGCACCAAGGGTTTTATTATTCTGTTATTATTACATAATATTGAAAATGTTTCCATTATTTTAATTTGTTTGAGAGTCCCGTACACACATACTGTATGAATTTATAACAGAAGTTTATATACAAATACATAAACTTTATATATCTTTTTGATAAATATATATTACATATATATTTATTTTATTTTTATTAAATATCCTTGTGTCTATAAAATGTTACCATTAATGATNAAACTTTTGCAAGTATAACTTCAAATATAACACAAATGACACACAACTTAATATATAAAAACCAAAACAAATATCTTTTACAAATTATTCTAATTATAAACTTAAAGCAAATTATAGATAGAAAAGCTATACATTTTATCAACTGCAAAATATATAACACAAAGAAAATTACTATTTGTGTTACTACCGACGTGTCGCTCGTGAACTGGCTGCGTAGTTCCAATGTGTACCACCTGTGCACATGGGCTAGTTTACAGGGCGGAAAAGTGATTACACATTCTCTTATGGACCTAGTTGCTCTCAGGTTTCTTTCTGGTTCTAGCGCACTCTCAAAGAAATTTGATGCCTACGAATTGTTCACCTGTGAATCCTGTGATATCTTGAAAACAAGAAAATTGACTATCTTGATACAATGGCAATGAATATGAAGGAAAAAGAAAAGTACATCGAGGAATTCGAGTTTCCACATTGCGATGAGTCCTCGAAGTATGAAAAAGTTGCCAAAATTGGACAGGGAACTTTTGGGTAAGAACGTTCACATATTTCTTATGTTGCTTGGAGTCAGATCAGATTGCTAGGCGAAAAGTATAACAAATATCGATAAAACCTATAGTGGACAAGTAAACAATAGATTACGGAATGAGTTATAAATTTTGCTCTTTTGAGAAGTAGTGGTTTGGGAAAAATTACTAACCTAACCCAACCTACCTTCAATTTATTTTTGAAAACTTATTTGTTATTTTTATTTTCCACACATTAATAATTAATAATTAATAAATTTATATTGTAGAGAGGTATTTAAGGCAAAGGATAAAAAAACAAATAAGAAGTTCGTTGCAATGAAGAAAGTATTAATGGACAATGAAAAGGAAGGAGTAAGTTTACAACAGTTAATTTTGTGTTTAATAATAATGCATACAAAACAAGTATAACATATTTGCTCTTACTTATTCTTTCCCAAGTGTAGTGTCTATTCTAACCATTGTATATTTAAAACTGTTGCAGTTTCCTATCACAGCTTTACGAGAAATAAAAATATTACAATTGCTGAAGCATGAAAATGTTGTCAATCTTATAGAGATTTGTAGAACACGAGGTAAAAAATATAATTTATATTGTTTATTACATTTCTTGAGTGTGTAAAATTACTTTTATAAAAGTTATGGAATATTTATATAAATTAGTAATAATATTTAAATTTTTTTGCAGCAACTCAGTATAATCGATATCGGTCTACTTTTTACTTAGTGTTCGACTTTTGTGAACATGACCTGGCTGGCTTATTGTCGAACGTAAATGTAAAATTTAGTTTAGGAGAAATTAAAAAAGTTATGCAACAGTTATTAAATGGACTTTATTATATACATAGCAATAAGGTAAGACATTTGTGAATTTTGAAGAGAACGCATTTGTAACCAGAATAATATTAAAAACTTCTATGCTGTTTGATCAATTTTACAATAACATTTTTAATAGTTATGTCATAAAACACTGATATAGTTTTCTTACATAACAATTTTTTAAATGCAGATTTTACACAGAGACATGAAGGCTGCTAATGTTTTAATAACAAAAAATGGTGTACTGAAGTTAGCCGACTTCGGCTTGGCACGAGCATTTAGCGCAAAAACTGGACACAGTAACCGATACACAAACAGAGTTGTTACATTGTGGTACAGGCCACCCGAACTTTTACTTGGTGACAGAAATTACGGACCACCTGTGGATTTATGGGGAGCCGGATGTATTATGGCCGAGATGTGGACAAGGTATGCATCACATATATTTGTATTTTTATAGTTACGGTGTGTGGATTAATTTCTTATGGTAAATGTTTTTTAAATTGTCATAGATCTCCAATAATGCAAGGAAATACCGAACAGCAACAACTAATTCTGATTTCACAACTTTGCGGTTCAATAACCCCGGAGGTGTGGCCTGGAGTAGAAAACTTGGATTTATACAATAAAATGGATCTTCCAAAAGGCCAAAAGAGAAAGGTAAATAAATTAGAATACGCGCATTTGTACAAGTAAAATGTACTTTGTAATGTTTTTGCAATTCTCCAGTTTCGGTGCATCTTGTATTTTATATATTTTCTCATACAGGTCAAGGATAGGTTGAAACCATATTTGAAGGATCCTTACGCCTGCGATTTGCTAGACAAGCTTCTTATTCTTGATCCCAGTAAAAGATGTGATTCGGATTCGGCGCTTAATCACGATTTCTTTTGGACTGATCCCATGCCGTGCGATCTCAGCAAGATGTTAGCGCAACATACTCAGAGTATGTTCGAATATTTGGCACCACCAAGACGACCCGGTCATATACGTCATCCACATCATCAAGTCACTGGTGGACCTTCCAAATCTAGTTCTACTATGGCTGACAGTGGATACCAAGATAGGGTCTTTTAGCGTACTTTAGTTTCTTTTGTTTTTTTTTTGGTGAGAACCAAATTGAATTTCGTATCTGTTTTATTTTATATTAAAACAAGATGAATACTCCTCATAGGGTTATTTAAAACCCTAAGAAGTTTTTGCTTGTAAAATCTCGCTAATTTGAATCTCGATCGTTCAAACACTTTTACTTTTAAATTTTGGAAAAGTGATTTTTATATTTTGAGAATTTTGTTTTTCTATACAAACTCGAACTTTGACTAATACAAATTTCGATTTATGACTCGAAGTATAGTCTGCAAAAATCCACTTCTAAGCGAAGCTTCTTTTGCAAGCGAGATTTTTATATCAATGTGTTCTCTCTGTCTAAATTGTAACGTACGCGTGTTGTGTGCACAGTCAAAATCATTAGACTTTATTTTATCTTCCATAACTCGAATTATTTCTTGCCCTTTGAGATGCAAGTTAGTGAAGTTTGACTATATATTACACACATACGTATTGCTGTCGAAATGTATGTTCTGCTCGACAATTGTTAATCTTTCCTTCGTCATTTATATGGAAGGAGTATTTCACAATACACATTATTTAAACAATTGTTGCGAAAAAAAGCCAAAAATACAAAAACTTGTATGTATACTCTTAACATAAATCTGTTAAATAGTTTTTTTTACATATGTGCGTACGTGTATATTTTTTACATATAATACATTAAATAAGCGTACATAGCGTTTCAAGTTTTTTAAAGCCTTTTCTCTAGCCTTTTTTCCTTTTTCCCTTTTCCATAAAAAAGCTGTACAATTTTACGATTGATTTGTGAAGAGAAACTGTTTCTTCTTCATTAACGCGAGTTTGTGTAAAAACTACATTTTATATGCAACAAATTTATATAAAAAATTTTAGGTTTATTTTGTATATTACAAAAACAAAAACTCGCAACAAGATATTGTTTTGTCACAAAGGTGGCCACGAAAGCGCCACTTCCGCGTGTGCCGATTCCGGTAACCACTTCTGATAGGCTGATAGCAAAACTGAAATATTGGTTCACATGTTAGATACAAATAATATAGAAATATATACATATATATAACACATATATAAAAGATTATTACTATATGTGAGAGTATAGAAATAAAAATCTCACATTTCTTATCCAAATTCCAAGTTTCTATGAGTTTATCTTTGGACATAATTCCGCGCGACAATAACGCCTGCGTTATCGCTTGAGTGCGTGGTATCAGCCTAAAAAAAACAAAAATCATAGAATTATTGTCAAAATTACAAATGTAAAGTTCACACGAAACAGATGTAACAGAGAAACGTAGTTACTTGGCCCATGATTTGGTGATGCTACCGGGTGTCGTCAGTAATGACGGTACAAATCGTTTCAGTTTCGGACATATTTGACCTTCTAAGAAGAAATACGCGAACCACTTGGCCCCTTCCACCGTCAACGGATATTCCACATCCATTGTTGGTAATTCCCATCCGGCTTTTCCGAACGTGCCGGTTACACGACACATGATTTTACCAGATTCGCAATCGTATCTGCACACACATTTTATCATTTACATTGAAAGAAACAATTCTTTGTAAATAAATGTGTGTGTGTTCGGATATTTCGAAAGATAGAAAGCATGACATTTATTTATGATGAAAAATACCTTGGCGGTGGATCAGTCAATGGCTCGCTGAGGGAGCACAACGTAGGCGCAAATTTCGGCAACCATTCAGGCTCTATTGCTGTGACGCCTCGCATGTACATTTTATTTGTCTCATATATTTCGCTATAAACCACCCATTCCGGACTGGTTTTTCGTAGGACGCATGAGGAGTGCATAAAGACAGGTTCCTCCATTTCTGGTGTCCTAGAAAAACAAGTTTGAATATAAAAAACAAATTTGAATGTTTTGTTAGCAAACAAAATACCTGTAAGCGTGTTTCCACTTGTGTTTGTCCTGATCCTCTTTCACCTCGTCCAATGAAACCTTTTTTGCTACCTGATCCGCCATACCAGCGAGAAGTATTTGGCGCAATAATTTCGCTTCTATATCAGTTGGCGGCGACATTCTGTAAAAATATTTAATATATATATATATAAAAAAAAAAAAATATCTTGATCATACACGCACATGTGGTCACATACTTCGGATCGATTGTCAAGTTCAGATTCGGTATATTTAAATTGATTTCATTAGTGAGTTGTTGTCTCAGTTTTCTGATTTCGACAACAGCTTTGTGTCTCAATCCGTTTTCTTCGCAAAAAGACAACAATTGTCCCTTGGACCCCGCATATTCGGCTGCTCCGATCGCTTTTATCAAGACCATAGGATCACCTGCGCAAAAAAGTGAAAAAAAAAAGAAAGAAAAATGTATACAACATGTATAGAAGATATTCTCTTGTTAATTGCGCGAACCAAAAGAACACAAATTTTATACGCACCAACAAGCAAGCTATTGCCGACGCCAGCCCAATGACGACGTATCTGCAGCCATTTACTTTTAGTCGAATCTTCCCTGCTCAGCGCCTCTACTAGAACTTCCTGGATACTGAGAGCCGCCACCATACATATCGTGTATTTCAACAAGTTGTACTGATGCGACAGTGCCAGCATTTTGCCGTAACGCGGAGCAACCGGAAACGCGGAAATGCTACGTCCAAGCGGCGTTATTTTCGCGCAATACATCTCTGAACAACAGACCATTAATTCCAAATATAAATATAATTGCAATTTTGAATGAAAATATAATTACCGAGAGAGATTACTACCTTCTTGCTTCTTCGGAGGTTGCTGCAAAGCGCCGAGTATTGTGAGCCGTTTTTCCGCAGATTTCAATTGCACGCTATTTGGCGGCGTGGGAAATGGGAAATTTACAACTTTGTCTATATTCATCGCTTTCATCTGCAACAACAAGTCGTCCACCGGCTTCCTCTGAATCTCCGACTCACCGTATTGTTCGAATTGATCGTTGTATACAGCCGATGAGTATAATCTTCGCAAAAAAATGAGGTTTCCAAGATAAATGTTAACACAGAGAAAAAGTATTCAGTTCAAAAGATTAAAAAAAAAATATAAATAAATAAAAATTATGAAACTTTTTAGGATAATATGTAACGATACCTGTAGCAATGACCGGGTTGAGTTCTGCCAGCTCTGCCGGCTCGTTGACTGGCCGACGCTTTGCTCGCGTAACAAATGTGATACGTGCTGACACTCGTCACCTTGTCGTACAATCTTGTTTTACAACGCCCGCTATCTATCACGTACCTGATGTTGGGTATGGTCAAGGAGGTTTCCGCGACATTAGTAGACACCACGCACAGACGACATCCTTCTGGCGGAGTCTCAAATACCTAAAAAAAACAACTCAATCGTATTAAAAAATTGCTATTATACGCACTGCGCACACAAAATCTAGCATATCTCTACCTTAGCTTGTTTATTGCTGGGTAAAAGAGAATAGAGAGGTAAAACCCATAACGGTTGAGCACTCGACAATCCTTTGAAGTCGATAACATCTTCGTCCTCATCCTCGTCCTCGTCTAAATTGCCTTCCTCGTCTTGCGCATCGAACAAATCCTCGTGCGTGTCGTCGGTAAAATTTACAGAATAACTACAAACAAGCGTGTCTGTGCTTACAGATGTTCCACGAGTTTCGAATAACTGCAATAAACATATACACACACACACACACACAAATGTACATACTCATCAAGATTAATAGTCGGGAGCACGATCTGCTTCTTGTGCCTCTGTTTGTTGCGACGTAACGCTTTCTCGGCATCGAACTCATCGTCGGAATCGTTTTTCTCGCTGTCTTCTTCGTCCGTTTTTTCTTCCGCCTCGGTTTTCTTCGCGTTTTTCTTCGGCGCAACACGAGGATGTTTGTCCTTTTTCAAAGGAAACGCCTTGCGCAATTTGCGCACAAGCGTTAGCACCTCTCTCTGACCTGTTCCAAACATACAATCGAACAATTATCAATAGAAGCCAGGATTTCTGGCTTCTATTTAAAAAAAAAACAAAAAAATTGACAATCGTACAACTTGTTTTTCTTCCTTACCTGTTAAAAATATTAATATACCGCCGTCAGGAAGACGAGTATGTATTTTGATCGCTTTGCGCAACGCCTCGGTGACATAATCGTCGCTAGTTCTCCGATTAAAATGTATTGTCACGGGAAACTGTCGGGTTTCGACTGTGATTACCGGCGGTTTTACTTTAAACAGTCTGGTGTTCTCCACAAATTCTTCCACGCGCAACGTAGCCGACATAATTATCATCTTCAAAGGATCGTTACGTTTACTTCGAAGCGGAACAATCCTCGATAAAAGACCGATCAGGATATCGGTATGCACGCTGCGTTCGTGTGCTTCGTCCAGTATAATAACGGAATATTTTTGCAACAGGAAATCCTACAAATATATATAGACGGAAAGATCGTAAAAAATTATTAAATATTGCTTGCAACATAAATTTCATATCTTATTCACTCACACTTTGAATCTCCTTCAGCAAAACACCGTCTGTCATAAACTTGATTTTTGTTTCATCCGTAACATTTCCCTCGAAACGAATCAGATATGAGACCTCTTTCTCGCTTAGATTCATTTCCTCAGCCACGCGTTTGCTCATCGACATCGCTGCCACTCTTCTCGGTTCGGTTATGCCGATCAATTTGTTCTGAGCATAACCCGCTTCGTATAAAAACTGGGGTACTTGCGTAGTCTTTCCTGATGATAAATTTAACAAATATAAGATTATATATAGAATATATATAGAATATATTATATATATATATATAGAATATAGATATGTAATAAAT